TGTTCTCTGGCACAGCCGGGTGCCATATGCTACGGATACGACCCGTCGTGATCTGGGTGGGATGAAGGACGCCACCAGCACTGGCCGATGGAAGTGTCATCTCTCAAGGTCAGGGCAGCATGGGAGAAAGCCATCGGCTCCTGCCTGATCTGGCTTCATGGGCAGGGAGGGGCTCAGACTTGCTTGGTGACCCCTCCTAGGAGCATCTCTCTCTCTCTCTCTCTCTCTCTCTCTCCCCCTGTTCACTCCAGGTGAGAACGTCACAGACTCTGTTGGAGCCTCAAGCCCAAAGCCCACCGCTACGGTGAAGTGCGGCCCCACCTGCTTCATCTAATGGAGTACATTTTGGGAGACGCCACAGCCATACTTTCCAGCTCCCTTCAGTCCTTCCCAGGGACAGCGCTCCCCCTTGGCCCTCACCCCGGGGAAGGCGGGCCATGTCTTCCTCCTGCTGCGTTTGGCTCCACGAAGCCCCCCTCCAGCTCCTTCCCCAGCACGGACACCTGCCTTCGGGCTGAACTGTTCAGGAAGGAAGGGGAAAGAAGAGAAAGGAGCGGAGCTTTACTTTTTGAGCTGTGAAATTTATGGAGGATCGGAATAAGGAATCCGTGCCCCCAAATAGTCTGTGATGAGGAGCGAGTCTACTTGGTAAGACACCGTGATGCGGAGCGGTGCTGCTGCTTCTCGAGGCTTGTGTGAAGCCGCCTGAAGGCTCATTAAAGCCAATGAGGGAAAGCAGGGCCATGGCCCAAAGACCCTTTCCTGGAAGTGCAGCCGAGGGTTGTTCGGACACCACTGACGAGGGCAAGACTGGCCAGGGATCCCCCTTCACAGGCAGGTCCCCCAGGGCTATGGGATCCATGTGCCCTGGAGCACTCCCCGTCCCTGACATGCCCAGGCCACCACGGTCCAGGATGTGCTCTGGAGTGGTTGGCAAGTCCACTTAAACACACTGCAGCCCTGGCTCACACCATCCACGTCGGCTTCCATCAGCCCTGCTCCCCCATGCTCCCCTTATGCCCTTCATGCTCCCCCATGCTCCCGATGCTCCGGCATGCTCCCCGTGTTCTTCGTGCTCCATCATTATCCACCACTGTGCCTGACGAAGTACGCGGCATGTCACTATAGACACCATCCAAATGGGTATGAAATGGCACACCCGGTTAAGAGAAGAGAGGGGAAAAACAGCAGATGAAATCCCGCACTTCCCCATGCAGGAAATAAACATTAGTAGCACCAGGTAGATGGGTGGCCACAGGTGATCAAAACTATAGGAAACCAGGGAGATGCAGAAACACTGCCCTGGGGCTGGAAAGAGGGATGGGATCCTTCCCCCGGGCGGGAAGGGCAGCGAGATGGCTGGAGGATTACAGGACACATCGTGGAGACTTCAGACGTTGCAAAGGTAGTGAAGAGAAGAGCCTGCAATGGAAGCGGGGCTGCTGTGGGAGACCACCTGTAGCACCGGCCAGCTCCAAAGCCGACCTGCAGAGGGTCAGGCAGAACTGGCCCCCGGGAGCCCAGGAGAAGCTGGGACTCAGAGGGAAAGCGCAGAACCCGACTAGGTGGGCTTAGCGGCCGGGCACCCGGCGCTGCTGCTGGGCCACGGGGAAGGTCACGCAACAATCCCACAATGGCTTCGCAGAGAAGGTACATTCTGTGCAGAGTTTACACAGGGAGAAACTTGGCCATGCGAAGTCGCCTCCTACAGAGAAAACGGCCCTGGAGGATGAAAGACAGCCGGGGTGGGGGTGAGGAGGGGAGACAGAGAGACAGACGCAGAGAAAGAGAGTTAGAGAGAGCGAGGGTGCTCAGGCAGCCCCGGTGCCAGCGCTGTGGAGGAAGCCACTGGGACACTCCAGCCCCAGGACACAGAGGACAATGTGGGCAGCTGGGATTATCCTCGCCGGGCTGATGAACTGGAGAGGCTACGCGGCTGTCTGGGATCTCTAGACTCTGGGCGTCTACCCAGGTATTTCTACTCTAAAGCCACCTCCGGCTGTCAAAATACCACTTTTCTAGAGGAAGTCTGCTGTGCTTCACCTCTTGTCTTTTGCACGAACATTTTGGCTTTGAATATGTCATGATACTCTTGTATCAAGGTTGTTACAGAAACGGAACCAATAGGAGATATGCATACACAGAGATTGAGAGATTTATTTAAAGGAACCGGCACACGTGATTCTAGAGACTGGCAAATCTAACATTCGTAGCACAGGCTGGGAACCCAGGCAGGGTTTCCGCACCGCAGCCTTGAGGCCGAGTTTCTTCTCCAGGAAACCTCAATTCTTGCTCTTAAGGACTTCAACTGATTGGACGAGGCCCACCCACATTACTGAGGGTGATTTCCTTTACTTTAAGTCAACTGACTGTAGATGTGAAAACCACATCTACCAAATATCTTCAACGCAATAGCTAGATTAGCATTTGATTCACCGGATGCTATAGCTTGGCCAAGTTGACACGTAAGATTAACAATCACAAGTCTTTTGCTCGGGGCTGAAACGAACCCACCGGTATTGGCAGAAAGAACTTTGCTGTGCATCAGACCCCACACAGTCTCTGCTCCCCTCCTGTGCCTGGACCGCTGTGCTTAGGCCATCACAGAACGTGGATGGAGCACGGGCTGCTCTGTGTTGGTGGGAGACAAACGAGGAGCCCCAGTTTGGCTTTATTCGGGTGCAAAGGGTTAACGGCTCATCAGGTTTCCTGTTGGGTTTTTTGGAGGCATCACCAACTAAACAGTAGATGTTTAAATAATTCAGAAAAGGCAGATTGGAGGGAAAAAAAAAAGCATAAAGTCCTGAAAAAGCCCTTAAAAAGTAAGTAAAATGCTAAAAAGTAATCAGAGATAGAACGAAAACACGAGAGCTAAAATCCATGATGTCAGCCAAGACTTCGGGGAACGTGGACCATAATGCCCGACACCATAAAAGAATCAGAGCTGAAGAAATCTGTGAGGACGTGCCATGATCAAATCTTTGCAAGAAAGAATAATCTTAACAGTGATTAAACACAAATTTCTTTAAATACTAGCGAGCACTCTTCAAGCACCAAGGGTGGTTTTTAAAAAAGAAAAAGTTTTATACTTGTAAAATACAGCTCATGCCTATCTTCTTTTAATAAAGATTTGAGGAAAATACATATTAAACTGGGTAGTCTCAAATCAAGTTAAGTAGGGTTAAGTAAAGATGGATTTGTAATAGACTGGAGAGCACTTTGGAAGGCAGGAGAATAAAACCAAAATGTAGCTGAATGCGTGAGAGCGAAATTTGGCTTTGAGCTTCCTGGCACCCAAAGCAAAAACAGAACATAAGATCTCCACCATTCCTGTTTTAGAGCATGCATTCTCGATGAGGCAGTATCACCTGTAAGGGGGTGAAAATCGGTGCTTAGGGAACAAAAAAATCTTACTTGGTTCATGTAAAAGGCATAGATATACATAACGTACATAAATACATACGTAGTAAATCTGTACTGTTAACATTTCTTGATGGGGAAAGGATTAGGAAAAAACATCTAAAAAGGCTCCTTGGAAGTTAATGATGAAAGAGAGGTTGAGAAATATATATTTTTTTTCTGAGCAAAAAAAATGTATCATTGCATCTAGTTGGCAAGCGGTGCCCCTTGACCTCATCCCAGGAGTGTCCTGGGAAGACGGTTGACACAGGACCCAGCTCTTTCTTGAGTATAGCCTTGCAGTCCAGCCCTTGATTGAAAAGATGAAGACATTTTATGTCTGCATATTCTCCAGCTCTGGACACTAGCGTGGGATTCCCAGCAGTTGGGGAGCATCTAGCAGCGAGGGGGGATCCACTGAAGTGTGGAGTCTGGGAATTATCCAGGAAGACTTTCGGGAGGAGGCTGCGTGGGAACAGAACTGGAACCCAGATGCCATTCTCGAAGAAAAAGAACTATTTTTTTGTAGGGCCAGGAACTATTTTCACAATTTGGGGCAACAGCTTCTGCAGTGTGCAATGCTGGCTACCGGACAAGGACCTGCCACCAGGGGCTGGCCTCTCCCTTGCTCTCCTCTCCCAGGTCAGCATGCCCAATGCACTTATTTTAGGATCTCGGATGGTGTGCAGTTTCCAATCTACTCAAGGGAGGAGGAATATTTCTCTCAGTCAAAGAGTAAGAATTCACAAAGGAAAAAATTCTAGGGGCGCCTGGGTGGCTCAGTTGGTTAAGCGACTGCCTTGGGCTCAGGTCATGATCCTGGAGTCCCGGGATCGAGTCCCGCATCGGGCCTCTGCTCAGCGGGGAGTCTGCTTCTCCCTCTGACCCTCTTCCCTCTCGTGCCCCTCTATCTCTAATTCTCTCTCTCTCAAATAAATAAATAAAATCTTTAAAAAAAAAAAAAAAGGAAAAAATTCTATATCCACAGGAGTCTCACATTTCCTGGGGGTGGACTGGATATTTACAGCAAGGACGAATAAACTGGGGGCGGGGGGGGGGGGTCAGCGATCGAGTGAGAGAGTCTCCTGGGGTCTGCAGGAGGTTTCCCGGAGGTCTGGTTAACGGGGCCGTGGGGCACGTCCTAGTGGTTGCAACCGGGACATGTGTGGAAGGAACAGGCAAGTGTGCTTTACGTGGAAAAGAGGACCCCACCGCCTTCTTTGTTTCTTGCCACCTGAGATCCACAGAGCTCTGGAGTCTGATGCCGAGTGACGCATCACACTAAACAAAACCCCCTCTCAAGTCAGCAGCTGCGAGGGGCAGAAACGAGGTGCAGCCGCAGAGCGGGGTTGGGCTGAGGGGAGTTAAGTGGCGGCAAGCTAGGCTCGGCTCTGCTCTTTCTGTAGAGACATGCAGACGCAGAGGGACACAGGTGCTGTCGATCCGGGCCCCAAGGGAGAGACAAGGGGCGATTAAGGAAGATGCACACATACAGAAAAGCGGGTCACAAAGCTCTTTAAGAAAGAAAAAGAGCAACAGTGGCATTTACAAACACATTTTTTTAGGTCAAGGGATAAAAACGGTAATATTCAGACACTGAGTCTTTTTAAATGGCTTTTTATTTTTTGTTGTCAATGCATAACTTTTGAGCCTACTAGAAGAGTATCATGATTACAGTGGATAAAAAAATATAGATGGCAGAATAAAAATATTAGGTTATACAAAGTTAGTTGTTTTGTTTTTTTAATCATCGTCCACCAACATTGTCAGGACTTCGGAGCTTAGGAAAAAAAAAAATCAACAAAACGTAATTTGTGTTTTTTTTACACTTCCAGCAGTTAAAAATTAAGAACACATACCGAGAATCATTTGCAGACGCCTATTACAATAAACGGAAGGACCAAAAACATTAAAACTTAAGTTCTAAGAACCATCATATATACAAACTTCTGTACAGAATGAGGACAGAAAGAACTCACCCAGTTAAAGCCATCTCTGTGCTATGGGCCTTCTCTTTTTAAAAAGAAAGAAAATGGATCTTCCTATACTTGTATTTACTTTCCCACTTGATCCAGTATTTCTAACGGTGTCTCCACTTCCATAAATTAGTAACTGTTCAGTAGCTGAGAAATAATCCTATTTTAAATTAGACCAAAGGAAATTAGGAACTGCCCTGAAAGGCCTGACCTTAACTGCCCCATACAGGTTGAAGATACACTTGACCACAATGTCACACCCGCAGGAGGAGGGCTTGAGAAAACACCCTTCGGGGGGAAGCTGGGGGTCAGCGTCGGGAGAAGAGGAGCACTCGCTCACTACACGGTCTCACGGTGACGGCCTCACCTCTCCTACTGAGCCAAACCCCGGTCAACCGCGTTCCTTGCTCAGTGTCATTTGGCACAAACGGAGGACTTTTGGGCAAGACTTAGGATCTCTCAAGACGGACACAGTCAGAAGCCCCCAATTTTGAGAAGCACAACAGTACCTTTCAGACCCACATCCACCTTGCTCCCCGGTGCGAAAGGCCACTCACGCCACGGCTGGAAAGAAACTCCTTTTCAGGACAAGCAATTGCACGGCGTGTCCAGGCCCCATGAGGGAAAGAGCAGACACAGGAGAAGACACAGAGGGAGAGGGAGGGCTGCAGCGTGTTCTCCATGCGGGCCTGCGGCCTTCACTGCACGATGCCCGAGTCCACCGACGTCTGCTTGCGCGCTGTCTTTGGGGGGGGCGGAGGTGGCGTTTTGCTGGGCAGCGGAGGCGGTACGTGCTGGAAAACACAGACGGAAGGCAGGTGCCGGGTTACTGAGGCGCTCCGGTGGGGGGGGGGGGCCCGAGCGGCGGGCACGGGGCAGCCACGGAAAGATGCTCTGCACCCCCGGGGGGTGGGGGGCCGGCGCTCTCTCCGTGACCTGGGGCTGGGCAGCTGGTGGCGACAGGCCTTTCTGGCATCTCCGATCAGCTGCTTTGCACAGAGCACATCAGACGTCTGCGCGGCCCCCTGAGAAGGGAAGGCATTGCTCTCTGCGGTTTTAATTCCCGGTGCTTTGGATCCCCGGGGCCCCTGGAAATGGACTCGTTACAGACCTGGACAGTTTAAACGGTAAAGAGCCAGGGTAGAGGGGCAGAGCAGACCCAGGGCCACCCCGGCGGCCTGGCGCTGTCCCGGCTGAGCGCTCCTTGATGAGGATCCACAGGCCTTGACTCGTGCCCCCTGAGGATGTCCCTCAACTGTTCAGGCACAAACAGGACCTTGGACAGGCTCTCCAACGGTGGGCGAGAAGCCCCCCCTTTGCTCTTGGAACTGGAAAAGCCGCATGAGAGAGGGTCAGCTGGGTACCTGTGGCCACTATCCAAGGGACTCATTTAAAGGCAGTTTTTCATTCAGTCTCTTCCAAAACTGCAAACTGAGGGGGGATGAGCAACAGCAGGGGATGTTTGAACTCTTCATGAGGGAAACACAAAATACACAGAATGGGCACAGCTGTGTCTCAATGAAACTATTTATAAAAAAAGATAGCAGGTCAGGGCGCCTGGGTGGCTCAGTCGGTTAGGCGTCTGACTTCTTGATTTCGGCCCTGGTCGCGATCTCAGGGTCACGAGATGGAGCCCGAGTTGGGCTCTGTGCTCAGTGGGGAGTCTGCCCGGGATTCTCTCTCCACCTCTCCCTCTGTCTCCCCCCCCCCCCGCCCCACACTCTCTGTCTCTCTGGACAAGAAAAAAAGAAAAGGCCGCAGGCTGTACTGGGTCCATGGGCCATGATTTGCCCTTAGAGTCCCACAAATGATTTGACAATTGCCAAGGTGCCAGGAAGACCCCTGCTTAAGGGCCCTGCCAGGGCGGGAGTGACTGAGGACAGCCGGCAGCACCCTCGCGGCCATCACAGACACCCACCCCGAAGGAGACGCTGTAAATATGCGTGGGTCCAACAAGTAAGTGAATGAGTGAGTGAGTGAATGAATGAATGAACGTGGTGAACAGATGAAGCACCGAATGAACGGATGGATGAACAAATGAGCAGACAGGCCACAGGCAGAATGAACCGGAGGGAGATTGCGGAACACTATCACCTAAGCGAGGGGGGGGGATCTCGTAGCAGCCTCTCGGGGGAGGCTCACGCATAATGCAACGTGAGGAAAGAAGTTTCAAGGACAGAACAGTGACACAGCAGTCTCTCCCCCGGTGACCAAATTTCCTCCCGATTCGCAGACAAGGAAATACTAAGACACAGAAGAGAATAAAGAGGGAAACATTGAACTGAGGCACTGACATTGAGACATTATAAAAAATGAAGTAAAATAGACTCTGGGTTTTCTCAAGGTTGGTAAGAACAGTTAAAAACAGACAAAAGCAAACACCTATTTCGAGATGTGATAAAATGGTTGCTTCCGTACACGTGCAAGCCACCGTGGTGGGTCCGAGTGCGCCAGACTGACCCAGTCAGATGCGGGCACAACGCTGCAGATGTCCTTCGTGCCCGGTAGGAAGATGGCGGGTTTAGCGCAATGAAGCAGAATGATAGGTCAGATGACTGCTTCTAAGAGCCATTTGGAAAGAAATGACAGCTTAACGTGGTGACAACCAGAGACAGGGTTGACCACAAGCCCGAGGCCGATCAATGACAGTGGCAGAGGTATCGAGCACCCCCCGAGGCAGATGAGCGATCATTATCCTACAATAGCCCCCCAGGCCTGCACAGAGGGGTGCACCCTGGAAACACCACCGCCTCCAGCGGATTACGACACACTAATCCACCGGCGTGTCACTGGAACTCGTGCTCGTGCTGCGGGGAAATCAAACAAGAAACACACAGCAACGAGACTTGGGTAATTAATCTAACTGAATTCACAAAGGCTCGCACATGTTCCTTCCTGACCCAACAGCACGTGGCATCAGTCACTTGGAATGACGTAGCAACAGCACCGGAGATGAGAAAATGTTGCCCCTGCATTGATCTGTAACAAAATAGATTGGATCATATTTCCAAGTTCAGAACTTTCAGTTCACTGGTGGAGGGAGACCCGGGGGACATTCCCACTTTTCCAATTATATAAAGGTATGAAAACAAAGGTGTGATCCGTTAACTAAGCTGTTGGAAAAACAACAGCCCAACCAATCAATGTTCTCACTCGACTCCCTGGGCCTCTTCCCTTCTGACTTGGAGTTAAAAGTTGGCGGGAAAGGCCAGACTCCCGTTTCTGTGGTTGCAGCAAACCATTCCAGCCTCCTGCAGAGCCATCACGGGGTAACGTGGCCCCGTCTCCGGGGCCAGTCCCCCATCACGGCATCTCTGGGGACAGAGGGCCGATCTGAAAGGCACTGCGGCCTCTGAAGGTCAATCATCCCTTCAGCATCCAAGATGAAGTCCCACTGCTGGTGTGTGTTTTTAGATAAAAGGAAGAATCGAATACGTGCACTGTAAATAAAGCCCCTCTCTTCTGCCCTGCTCACAAGAGGAGACAATAACCTTGCAGAACACTCCATGAAAAAGTACCCGTAGAAAGAAAGAAAGAGCGAGCACATAGGTTTATGTTGGTTTTTAGGGGGGAAAGCGTGCACCCTGACCTCAGCCTGCGGCCACCCGAGAACAGAAAACCTTGAGAACCAGAAGAAGAATGGGTTGGATCTTTAAGGAATGTTTCCAGAGCGGGATGGATGCCACAGAACCAAGGTCCCGTGGACAGAATTCTTATCGCTTTGACCTCTTTTGTCAAAATCAAACGTGGGCTGGCCCAAAGCAAGCACGCTAACATCAGCAAGGAGGGAGTTCCGTTTTGTGGAGGGAACGTTTTCAAAAACCCACGTTTCGGGTTCCCGGCTGACTTACCCTCTGGTGAGGAGGAGGGGGCGGGGGTGTGGGCGAGCTGATCAAATCCTGGCTTTCCACCAAGTTCCCATAATCCGCCATGCTGCCTTTGAGAGGCAGGGGGGGCGGGACCTCGGCCATGTCCATCCCAGTCACGCTGCTCATGCCGTTCAGCTCCAAACCTGGAAAACCGGATCGACTGAGAATCAAACGTCCCCACTGAGTGCCCAGGCGGCTGCTTCACCTTCTCTATGGGGGGTGGGGTGGGGGTGGGTGGGGGGGGAGAAACGCGTGTCGACTGAGAAGAGAGGCGAGCTGGGAGGGGTAGAGAAGGTGAAGGGTCGGATCCCCGCCTAAAGGCATGTTCTAGAACAAGAATACCGAAGTGCCACAAACACATCTAAAACAGGAGTTTAAAGGAGGCGTCGATCCACTGTACAAATAGCCATGTCAAGCCTGGGCCCCTATCAGCCCCTCCCGGGCCTCTGCGTGTTGGTGGCATCTAAACAGCGGGGTGTCACAAGGACTGTCTACCCAGGTGTTTTCAGAGCCTTAGCCAGCGTCCTGCGGCCGTTACTAGGAGGGCTGCACGAAGCGAAAGCTAACGATGCGGCAGCCAGCCGGTCACCCACCCTTCAAACCTCTCTCGACAGGGAGACCCACGATGGTACGAAACGAAGTTATTAGCAGTCATGGGCACTGTGGGTGTTACTTCTAAAGAAGCCAAGGGGGAAGTGCAACTGATTTTTAAAGCCAACTGAAAAAAGAGCCAGTTTCAAATGGAAGGACAATCCTTCAGACAGGATACCCTCTCAACCCTCGTGGAGGCTCGTAGGGAAAGAAATTGTTTTTCTTTTATATTAGAGGAAAATTGACATTTTTACTGATGGGTCCCACTGGATGAAAACTCCTTCATTAGGGGAAAGGCCTCCTGGGGGAGTTGTGGGCTTCTCAGGAAGGCTCGCCAGTGAATCCAAGCATCGAGACAAGACGAGTCCGATGGAATGAACACCCTTGTGACTTCTCGCTGGCCTGCTTATCTGTGTTGTGGTAAACCGCACAGAAACATACAGTTTGCCATTTTAACCAAAATTCATTGTATAAATCGGTGGCACCGGTTACGTTCACAGTGTTGGGCAACCACCACCGCTATCCGTTTCCAAACTCTCTTATCACCCCGACCATATTTAGAGGAAATAATAAAAGATTTTTAGAAAAAGATTCTGGGATAATAAATAGCATAAGGATATGAGGATGCGACACCCAGAGACCGTCCCTTCCCAGCGGCTGGGAAGCTGCTCCCTCAGTTAGGCTCCTCCACGGCCACGGTGCGAACCCCCGACCTGATGGTCCCCAGAATGGCCACCGCTCCCCTTCCAGCAAGAAGAAAACCAGGTGCAAATGACAATGGTCCGTGCCTTCCAGAGCCTCTGCACAGGGCAGGGGAAGGAGGGTGGGTCCTCCGGAGGAGGAAGGTGGGCCCGCACTCCCTGCCACCTTCTTCCCGCCAAGACCTCTCCTCTCTGGCAGGCCTGGATTTAGTGCCGAAAAGCTGACTGCCCCTGGTAGTGGGTTGAATCATGTCCCTCCAAAGTACATGTCCACCCAGAACCCCAGACTGTGACCTGATGGGAACATAGGCTCTTTGCAGATGAAATGAGTTAAGGATCTCAAGATGAAATCATCCTTGATTTATGGTGGGACCTAAAGCCAAGAGACATCGCAGTGTCTTTATAAGAAGAGGAGAGGACTCAGGAGGTAGGCCACATGAAGAGAGAGGCAGAGATTGAAGGGGTACATCCGTAAGCCAAGGAACACCGAGGACTGTCAGAAGCTACCAAGGCATGGAACAGTCTCTCTCTGAGCCTCTGGCCTCCACAAGGGTGAGGGAATAAATCTCTATTGTTTTAAGCAAATAGGTTTATGGTAATAGGTCACGGCAACCCTAGAAATTGGGAACAACTAGAAAAATTAGTTATGTGCTTAGCTCTTCAGAACAGTCTGGAAATGCCTCTCCACTTTACGTGCCTCCTGAACACAGGAAGGCCCAAGACCCTCGTGTGGTTCACATCCTATGACACCAACAGGGAGGCTGTCCACGCGCCCAAGCCTCTCTCGGCACAAGGGGGAGCTCACTACCCCCCGCCACCAGGGAACTTGGGAAGACCGGTTTGTCGAAGCCCAAGGGGGACTCCCCGCACGCTGGGTGTTTGGGGAAACTCCATCTGGGGCAAGGTGAGGAGGCGAGCCTAACTTCACAGCGTCAGGGCCAGGAGGGAGTCACAGAGCAACGCCAGCAATTCCAACGTGGAGAACGTTCCACTCACTTGACTGCAAACTGAAGCTGAGCTTGGCCCTTGGCGTGACCGCAGGGGGTGCCGGCTGGGAGGACGGTGACGACGGGGACACTGAGAAACGTCGTTCACTTCCAGTGACACTGAGCACCTGGCTCTTCGGTCTCTGGGGCCGCAGGGGGCTTATCTACAGCGCAGGAAAGAGCACAGTTAGGTTCCGCCATGGCTGAGCTGTGTCCCCCATGACTCCCAGGCCGAAGTCCTCACCCTCAGTACCTGTGACCGTGTGTGACCTCACCTGGAAATACACTCCTTTGCAGGGGAGGCCGTTAGGGTGGGCCCTAACCCGATAGGACTGGTGTCCTTATAAAAAGGGGGGATCTGGACACAGACACGTGCACATGGGGAGAACTCCAGGTGAACGCGCGGGCACAGATCAGGGCGATGCCTCTGTGAGCCAAGGTATGCCAAATATTGCCTCGGGGGAGGCCTGGACAGGGCGAAGGTGCACGGGGACTGGCAACAGTCCTATCCCAGGAGGCACGCTCTGATGACTCAGGAAGCCGAAGGATGCTTTCCTGGTGCAAGGCGTATCTCCCCTGGAGGACCCTCCGTCCCGCCGCAGGCTCTGAGTCTCAGCGCAAGGTCATGAGACTGTTGATGATGCCAAATCAAGCAGGAAGCTGAGCCCAGCCCCTGGAGGGACAGAGGTATAGCCTCTGTCGAGCAGAAGCTTCGGGGACCAGGCGTGGGGCGAAAAGCTAAGGCCACCCCGGCGGGCCCAGGGACCACCAGTGGGTGCTGGCCTTGCCCCGGGGCATGGCGCTGCTGCCTTCCCCTTGGGCAAACCTGCCCCAACCTGCCCCCCTGCTCTGCCCCGCGACCCCTGGCTTGTCCCGGGCACACGGAGGATGGCCTAGGGAACACCTCGCAGACATCGCTGACCACTGTCCTCTGGAGGACGAGGCCCTCTGGGGAGAGGCAGGTAGCTGGGCTGGACCGAGAACAGTGAGTCTGCCCCCAGCCAGAAGTCTGCCTGTCCCCAGAGCCGCTGAGGCTGCAGTTATGCTGAGAGCTGTCAGAGGCTGACCGGGGGGCCGGGTCCTGCGCTCCGAGCCTGACGGTCGCCAGCGTTCGTTCCTGTGCACTTGCCGAGGGCACTTCAGGCCCACTTTGGCCGAACTCGGCCCATCTCTGCTAGCGTCCCCGCAAGCCAACAGGGCCACAGTGGGGAGGGACAAAACCTGCGTGGGACGACCAAGTGCCTGGCCCGACCTTCGACCTCTTTTCACACAACTAACCGTGAGCTCTGCCATGGGGTTCAACTTCCCTCGGGCCCCTGGTATTAACAGCTTAAAAGGGAGCTTAAATGAAAATACATGAAAGGACATGCGGTGTGTCTGGCCCCTGGTAAATCTCTTGTGCTTCTGTTAAGTCCCCCACCCAGTTCTGATGTTCTGAGACTTGAGATCTCTCTCCTGGGCTTGAGAGACGGTGACCTTGGCTATGTCAGCAAGGTCACTGTCACCCCAGCTGTCCAGAGTAGTGGCCAGAGAACACTGGGGGGTTCATCAGAGACCTCTTCCTCCGGCTGCTGGAGGCCCAGCGCCTGGCCAGTCCCCTTCCTGTGCTCTGACGCCCCTGGCCACACTCAGGGTGCAGTCAGAGCTGTGTCTAAGGCCTCAGAAGGCATTCGCCTTCTTGAAGGCCGTGTCGTGGCCCCCGAATCTGCCTTCCGCCTCTAGAGAGCCAAGCAACACATGCCTGCCTGTCTGAACGGCACGCAATGTGGGTGAGTCGTACCCTCTGGCTTTGAGGTACAAACACGCCAAGAAACATGTCTTATTAAAAGGGGGTCCCACGTGAGCCCTTTTGTCAAGCAACCCTTCAATCACAGCCAGGACAGGCCAGGGGCTCCTGCCTGGGGCGGGCACGTTCCTGGCCACCGTCCGGACAAGGGCCCATCGCTTCTAGGGGGAGGCGGCTCTGGGCCTGACTTAACCTTTGAAGCTGACAGCCTGTGAGAGCCTTTCCTTGATTTCGTTTCCAGCCCACAAATAGCGCTTTCTGAATAAAGTTCACCACGGGAGCCACCCGTGCCTCCTTTGTACCCTCAGCCTCCACCACCGCTGTGCGCTCCGGGGAACGGCAGCCCCGGGGTCCAGTGCGTGCGGCACGGGTTCAGGTGAAACTCCAGAAAGTCCTTCTGGAACATGGCAGAGAAGTAAATGTGGGGCAGATGAGGCAGGGAGGCCAGCGTGGAGCCGCGTGCTGCGGGCAGATCCCAGCAGGAGGGGCTTTGGGACTCCCGCCGAGCAGATTCCAACTCGGCGAGTGCCTGGGGCTTCGAGATTTCGGGTCAGGAAGGGGACAGGCAAAGGCGACAGCCGGCCTGGAGGACTGTTTTCAGACAAGAGAAGCGTTCCTGTTCATCTTCTGAGATGTCAGGATGTGTCTTGGGAGCAAGTCCTACATTGCTGCCGAGCGCCTAGAACCAGCGGAGTCCCTTTGGGACGGGTGATGAGTGCTAAGAGAGGAGCTCCACTCTGAGCCTCCGGACGCCCTACGGCATTGGGTGGTACAAGGGGACGGTCGGGGGAGACCTCAGATTGGCAAAGTGACTGTTGGATAGAAAATTCAGTGTCATCCAATCGACAGCTCCACTGGCTAAATGCAGAGCAAAGGTAGGTAGGTCCCAGAAGCTAGGGCAGAGTGGGGAAGAAGGTTCCCCGAGGAATTACCGTCTCTGAAAGAATCACAGCCTCAGACTGCTGCCCGCAGATGTCAGTGGGTTTAAATTCCTTATCAAACATCTCTTGATGTTTGCTGTTCCTTTTTTCCTTCTTCTTGTCCCTCTTCTCCTTCTCTGGGTCGTCCTTGTCTAGCTTGTCCTGGGACCTGGAGTGCATTTTCTTTGGCAGGAGAGGCTCCAGAGCAAACCTAGAAGAAACGGTTCTTTAAATCACTCATGACTTAAGTGGAGAACAGTTGCTTCTCACCCAGCAGATAAATGGGAGCCTGGTCCCGGGGAATCTGAAGTGCTGCCTGGGAACTGCGCGGGCTTACAGGAAAGGAAGGATTTAGAAAGAGAGGCCAAGGGGGAATTAAGATACATATTAACCAGCTGTAACAGAGAGACTCTGTTTGCAACCGGACAAGATCCAACTGGAAAGAAACAGAGACCAAGCGGAAAGAAACAGAACACGCATAGGAGGACGGGGAGTTGTGAAGTCTGGGTCGATAGGACACGATGACATAAAAGAGATTATCGCAGATTTCTGATGGGAGGATGGTATTTAGGGTATGTTTCAAAAGGGGCGGCCTCATCTTGTAGAGATTCATACTAAAACATTCACAAATGCAGTAAGAAGAAATAGGCAGATGCTAATGCAAAGAAATTTCCGTTATCCTGATTCTGACCAAGTTCCTACAGCCAGCTCAAGATTACAGATATGTCGGCTGCTTTAATTTGAAAGCCTTTTGGATGGCTCCATGAGAAGCAAGCCGATTCCAGCTCGTAGGTACCTGAAGAGGCCCTGCGTTTTTCAGCACTGAGCACTGAGCTGGAAGTCCCGGGTATCGGCTCTGCCACCTACTGGGGAGTCTCCACAAGCCCTAATCCCTGTGGGCTGGACATCCCCAGTCTCAAGACAAAAGGAGGACACCACCCGCTCTTGTGCCTACTGGTACCAACTGGCTGGTATAAAACCATGTTAATGGTTAGTCTACGGAGTAAGTGGATCTTGGATTAGCTTCTAAGGCACGTGTTAAAGCTGACTATGCACGCACATCTACGTGCAATTGTAGTTTGCTATTTTAACACAAGACTGGGCCGTGGTGGTAGTGGTGGTGGTGGTTGGCGGGGGCGGGGGGTCCATCCTGTCTCTGTCCTACTAAGTCAAATCAGGAGAGAGAAGAAATGACTCAGTTCTAAGGTTGGAGTTACATCCTCTGCAGCAGGAAGGAGTTAGGAGGGAGGGCCAACATGGATAACGGTATGAAAATATCTTGAAAACTTTATAAACTTCCAGTTATAAAATAAATAAGGCACAGGAATGAGAAGTACAGCATAGGGAATACAGTCAATAAAAATAAAATAATCCTCAAGATTTTATTCTAGGTTTTGTATAACTTGAGACAATTAACGTAGGGGGAAAAAATAAGATCGGTGGACAACTTTCAGCTCAGGGGGAACACCTATAAACATCTCGATGAGTACACAAAGAGCCAAGAGAAAGACAGGTTACATTTAAAATTTTTCACATTATGAGAAGCACCTGCCGACAAGATGAACTTTTATTCTGCATGTAACCTGTGCCATTTGGGACCAAAGTCTCATTTTCTCCACGTTAATTACACAGCTAAGGGTGGTAACCCTAGAATGAAGAAAAATCTGGAGTCTAATAAAGATGCCTCCCAGTCCAAGGTTAAACAATGCCTCCTGGGAGAAGGAGGTTGTGTATTTACACGTGTGATACGCCACACCTCTATCTAAGACCTCTAGATCAATTTCCACCCTCACCCCTACGTTCTTGGAAATGTAAAAACCTTTTCATAACTAGCTTGGGGATTTTCCTGGGGAAAAGTTGAATTATATTTCTTCAGCAATCTTGCTCTAAGTGACAAGCACACATGATTTAAATTCCTTTAAATTGAGAATTTCCATATGGATTTGGCTTTATAAGTAGCAGACACTGACAAATATTACTGTTAAGAAAAAAAAAATGTGGGTTTAGTTTTCAATCCTCCACTGGGCACACCAGTCATCAGTAACAAAGGGCGCTTAGATTTGAGCTGTTCCTTGGGGCGCTCTGGAAGCGTGTGTCTGCGTGTGGCGGGGACCAGAAGCCTGTGGGTTTGGTAAGGCAATGGACGGAAAACCAAAGGGGGTTGTACAAACACACCACTGTGCAAACTCAACAGTAAAATAATTAGCAGTTGGTCTCTGGGATTTAAACTACATGACACATTTTCCTTTCTCTTAATAAGAACAAACTTTACATATTTGCTACTCAAAGACACAAAACAACTACTGATATTTTTTAACACTCAAAGTTAACGCAAGAGACACAGTGGGAGCTCCACCAAAATTAACTAGTCTATTAGCTTCTTGTTTCGCTCTAAGGTCACTTTGTGCTGTTGAGTGCTCAGCAGCAAAACCGGGGTCTCCAGAGAAGTCTTGTAGAAAGAAGGTGGCCTTGCCAGCCCTCAAGCCTGACAGTGTGAGACAGTTCTGTGCTGGTGTGACACCAAGGCAGTGAGCAGGAGACGAAAAGTACAAACACACAGTCAGCAAGCAATGTATTACACTCCGTCTAGAACTTCTAGAACAGAACTGAACCAACACTCACTGGAGGTTTTAAAATCTGATGGAAACCTTACCCAAATAATTTTTTCTCAAAAACTCACAAGACCCTGAAAGTCATTCTGGGCACTAGAGTTGCAAAGTCTTGGAGGGTTTCCGTTTCAAAGACAGTTTCGATTTTAAGAAAAATCCTCTGTTGTGACCAAACAAACCCAGGGTCCTGGCGGCTCCTCACAGGACCCTCTAAACCCCCTCCCTGCTGCTGAGCCGGACTCACCCATCGGAGCCTGGCCTGGAAGGGGTGCTGTCCGATGACAGGGAAGACACAGAGGCCACCGACAGAGGCCGGGATGAAGATGGCATCGTGAAGGATCGGACCATGGACCGGGGACGGCTGCCTCTTCTGTCATCCAGACTTGAGGGCTGACAGTAAGAGAGAGAGAGAGAGAGACAGAGACAGAGACAGAGACAGAGGTTTGTTTGATGCTCTTGTGCCAAAAGATTTCTGGCCCAAAAATGGTCAGAACCTTGGGACCAAGTGGTCTTAGCAGCCTAGATTCTAGACCAAAATTGTCCACACTTCTATGAGCAGTACATATTCTTGTTCAGAGTTAAAGATGAAAATGATGATTATTTCGGGGTTTTTTGAAATCTTACCTGATCTTGTGAAAAATACCCTAAACTTCCTGTTTTCCTAACATTTTAAGTGCAGTTTTCTTTGCCAACACCACAATGCATCAGCCTGTTCCAAAGCGAACACAGAATGTAGTGAGCAGAAAATTTATCGAGTAGCATCTAGATTGAAAAAACTGCAAGATCATTAGATGAACTTTGTACCTCTCTGCGCGTCGATAAACCATGCAGATCACCAAAATCCATGGATGCGTCTGACCGAATTTCTCCAGAATGAAATGAGATGTTCCTGCTGCTTAGTTCAAGATGGATTTGCTCCCCTGCCAGTGACTGGTACGGGGGGGCAGATGAAGCCACCGCTGGAGCTGCTCAAGCTCCTCCTCCCAGCCAGGCCATGAACTACAGATGCATTCTGGAGAAAAACAGTCTCTGGATGGAGTTTTCCAACCTCTCTTTGAAACGGGATTTATATCCCCCAAACACGAGTCACGGAAATATAGCTCGTGTCAATATCTAATTACCTAGAAAATGCTAGTGTACCTATGCCCCAAGAACAGCTGCCGCAGGGGCTCCTTCCTTGATCCTGAGGATGGAGGGCACTTCCTCTCCGGGTGGCTTTGACCTCCCCAGCTCCCTGCCCCACACCAGCGAAGATGGCACCTCGGGCAGTCACCTGTAGAAGACGTGCTTGGGACCGCGGCTGATTACACACCGAACACAACTTCCGCATCTGAAAAGTGGGCCTGTGTCTTCAACAGGTGTTTTGCACATGAAATATGACTTGGTCTGCTCTGCTCTCTTTAGGAGTAACAGGTTCACAGCGACAAAAGCACAGTTTTAGAGCAGGAGTTGGTAAACTTGTTCTGTGGACGGCCCGATAATAAGGATCTTAGGCTCTCCGTCCCTCTGCTCGGCTTGGCCACCATAGCATGAAAACAGCCAGAGATGCTACAGAGATGTGTGAACAGGGATGTATTCTAATAAAACCCCATTTACAAGAAGGGCAGTGGGCCACAGTTTGCCAACCACCAGTGCAAAGCCACGTGGAGCTGGAATCTGCCCACACGGAGGGGAGGTCTTGGGTTTGGCACCAAGGATGGAGCCATTGCACACCCCCAAGGAGACGTCCATTGTCACTAACTGGCCTTTACCTATGAGGAAACTTAAGTACAAATTAGTTCAAACTATGGACATGTTTCCTGTACAAAACCTAGCAACTCACAAAGTCTACAGAACGCTCTTCTCAGCCTTTCTGAGACACATGTCAACCCAGCCCGAGGACTGGCTCTCTGACGCGTGGCTCCCCCGACCCCCAGTGTCTCGGCTGTGTCCCGGGACTGTTCGGTGTCCCACTGCTCCTGACGCAGCTCCAGGCCTGCCTGACCACCTCAGCCGCCACCCCGCTCGGCCACCGCTCCTCTCTGGCATCTCTGTGGGGTTCGACCCTCTCACGCTTTGAATGAGCCCTGCCGGCCACCTCTGCCTCGCGCAGCCCACACCATCCCCTGCCATTTCCTCCAGAGCAGTAGCCTCTGAGGGCGGCTCACGGGGGTGGGGAGGGCATCTGGGCACCCGCACACCACCCATGCAGAGCTGCCTTCCCACCTCTCCCCTGCAACAGCCTCGGGCTTCACTCCCACCTCTCCTTTCTGGACGGGGGTTGAGGGTGGGGGAGAGCAGAAGGGCAGAAAACCAGCGATGTCAGGCTCAGGTGATTTCTGTGGCTGGGAGGCTGCTGCCTCCATACCCCATCATCTTCTAGGCACAGGGAAACGTGCATTCAGGGAAACGCAATGGAGCACACAGAGAAGAAATGTGACCCGTCCGGCATCCGGGTGCTGTGAGCCCCACCCCTCGCCTGACGGTTTCCGCTTTTCTGGTGAAATGATCCCCACAGCCATGCGAGCAACGCAAGCGCTGAGTGCGCAGGCAAGAGCGGGGAGCCAGTCGTGGGCCAGCAGGTGGAGACGGCCAGCGAGAACCACCTCACTCCAGCTCTTGGCAAGGCCCGGAAGACCCTTGGACATCCCACCTCTGACCACAAAGGGCCGGTGATGTCCCACAAGAGGCAAACTGGAGTCTTGGGCAGACGTACCAGTATGGACTGGAAAGAACAAAGGGAAGGGGGATGGCAGGAGCAAGGCTCTGGCCAAGGAGGGACAGAAGCCACTCTTGGGCCCCACACTTGCAGGTGACCCACTGGGTGTGGCCATGGCCCCCCACTGGGCCATTTGTCTCACAATTCCTTCTTGACTGAGCAGAGCCTCTAAAGATTGAAGAACTGCGACTTTTTTTTTTTTTTTCATCTGAAGCAATGTGAGTTTCTCCCAGCCATGACAGGTGTAGCTCCAGCGTCAGGAGAACACGAGTAAACCAGTGTCCCCGTGTCCCAACACCAGGGCTGGCAGGGGTAGGGGTGAGGCAGTTAGAACTAGGCTAGAATTCTGGCTCTGGTACCGACGATGGGACCTCGCGTCACACATGGAACCACTCTGAGCCTCAGCTTCCTCCAGAGCACGCAGGGAACCAGCATCCCACCTCGAGAGGCTGGAGTGAGGATGAAATGCACAGCTGGAGCCCACTGGCCTTGGCACACTCTGAAGGTAGCTTCCGTTGTCCTTGCTGTTGTCATTATTATGGCCTGAAGCAAACAATCGTTTTGGCTCTCTTACCAGAAGCGAGCCCTGCCCTGCTCAAAAGCTGTGACACGTTTTGTGTCCTTGTCTTCCAGCGGAGCCTAAATGCCTCCCCTTGACCCCCACACGTGCCTACTGCCTGTGGGGTGGGGTGGGCAGGGCTGAATTTAGTTGCGGCGACCAGAGTTTTATGGGGTAGGGTGAGAAGCCGGTATGTTTCTTTTCTGGAAGACACAGCAGGTGCTCGCGGCCTCTTCCTCAGGGACCCCAGCGTCTGCGCTCCTCACTCCCTATGCATCTGGAGAAGCTGGGCTGTGAGCTTTTGTCCAGGGAGCGGTGGCCCCCTAGAGCCCTAGCACAGGCAAGGTGAGGGCCAGTGAGGAGGGAGCAGGGGTCTGGAGGAGCCGCCTGTGGATTAAGAGGTCAGAGGGTGTCCAAGTCTTCTGTTTCTGTCTATGGCTTTGGCTGGATCAGAAAAACTGACAAAATGGTTTATGTCTTTCCTATGGGTTTTTATTTTTAAATCCATTTTTTTTTAAACAGGATAATACTCTATTGCCTTTCCAAGTATTCTCAGATGCTCGCAAGTTTTCAGAGTAGATAAGACAGGAAAGGCTCATACCAGACTGCTTTTTATTGCCGCTTTTCTCAGAGCATGACAGGGGCATCTGCCTCTCTCTCTGTCTGCTCAAAGGAGGCCAGCTGCAGAGCCTGCTGCTCGGGTCCCAGGCTGGAGGACTCAGGAAGGCAGCTCCAGCAAAGAAAGCATCCAAGGGGAGGAAATGCACCCTTGATTCTATTCCTTGATCCCAATAAGCCTGACCAGCCCCCTAGCTGGGCTTAGGTGCGGTGCTGCCCAGGCTCCCCCTACAGGGAGGTGGGCAGTTTGGTGGGCAAGACGTGTCTCAGGATGTGGTGGACACCGCTCATCTCTGGCCAAGGATGCTGCGTCGGAACAGGGGAAACCTGTCCTGGAGGAGGGGGACACCCCCGCCCCCTACGCAACAGGCCTGCCTCCTGCCCCAGCTTTCCTTCTCCCCTGGGCCCAGCAGCAAGCCCGCACAGACGTAATGAATCCCAGCGGAGAACGGAATCGGAAGGCTGTGTGGTGAGCCAGACAGGTTTCTGTCATTTTGAAATATAAATTATGTGAGTGGTAAAAGAGGAAGCCTTTCACTTTTCAGTACAAAAACTCTAAGATCTCACACGTGTTTGTTTCTTAGAAAGACTTAAGATTGGTGTAACTCTTGGGAAGAGACTCATGACGACGCACCCTGAAATTCTTGCCACTCGACTCTGGCTGCAGTGAGTCGCAAGCCCCGAGGCAATGAAGCACTCCTCAAGGGTTCTGCCCGGCACGAGGGGTCCTCCAGTGTAGCCGGCAGGAGGGCACCCCGGTCCCCAAGCCTGCTCCCCGTGAGCAGCTCCCGCTGGGTTGGCCGCCCTGGGTCCCCACGCACTGAGTTTTCAGACCAGAGCCCAGAGGTTGCGTTCTCTTGGCTTTGTCAGGTTCACACCTGCTGGGGAGGCACTGGTGCACCACAGCCCGCCAGAGCAGACAAGGGTGGGCAAGTTGGGTCGGCATGGAGTGGAATCAGAGCCAAAGTAGCTCCTTTCTGGGGGGACTCTCAGTCTCTTACAAGAGAAGGAAAAGCTCTGCCATGTAAATTAAGAGTAGTGGCTAAAAGCACAGACTGGGAGGCAGACCAGTGGGCTTCAAACTCCATCAGCAGCCAGAGTGGCCACTGCTAGAGTGTGACCGTGCATCCCCTTTTCCCCATCTGTAAAATGAGGATGACCACAGTGCCTCCTTCGTAGTGTTAAGTGGATGAAGCCAGTTCATATTTGCAAAACACTTGGAAAGGTCCCTGGCATATGGTAAGCACTAAATTAGTGTTTGCTAAGTGAGCTAAATGTGTGAAAAAAAGAAGTGAGTTCAACAGGAAGAGCAACAGAGAACCGTAGAGAATGGCAGACAGATGGAATTGGGCCGAAAAAGGACCCAAAACGGTGCCCTACACTGGACACCTGGTTCTTCAGGGAGGAGAGAAACGTGTCGTGCGATGTGAGAAGCAGAATACCTTCTACGGCACGCCTTTTGTTTGCAGGAAGGTGGAAACCTTGTGCGCCCTCACACCCCCTTCATGCCAAGGGCTGGGATTCTGGATCGGAAGCCTCGCTGCCTCTTTTTGTCACACTGTTGCTTCCCTCCAAACAACAGGGAAAGGGGGCCTTGACTCACTTGCTGTGCCCGACGTCTCCAGAGTCCAGGGACAGTCAAGGTTAGGACCCACCAAGGCTCCCAGAAACCACAGGGCTCACACTGCCAGATACTTTGCCTCATTACATATCACAAGCCACACTTTTATCATGATCTTGATCCCGGCCCCCCACTCAGAAACTTCCACAAACTCTTGGGCAAACGCCCAGTTCTACCCTTCATCCAGAGCAAAGCCTCCTGCCCCACACCACGCCAATCCAGGCTCTTGGAGGCTAGGCACCTCTCCGGCTTTCTCCTACGATTTCTCTTCCGTCCAAGACATGTCCATTTCCTGCACGGCCTCCGGCCTGCCATTCGAATTCCGGCCTCCCAGCCTTTGCTGGATGAACCCTTTCTCCCCACCTCCTCCCCGACTGTCTCTAGCTTACCTTTCTTGGCCCAGACCAATGACCACTCCTTTAAGACGTAAGTCTTTGCTAACAATTTCAGATCTCAGTAAACCATAGCAACTCTCTCCAATGACTTTGACTTTGGACTGGACTTAGGTTCCAGCTCTGCCTTAGGACATCATGAGTTCTGCTGCCCTGTGTGTTACCTAACCCTCTGTATGTAGTGTATGGCTAGCGGTGTGGCCTCACGGCCAGGCGAAATTGAGTCCCATGGGCCTCTGGGTGGTTTTTCTGTTGCCCCACCACATTAAGGATAGATTGTGTTCACAGCAGGTGAGCAGGGCGTTTGGTGATCAAGCAAACTCCCGAACGCTTACTCACCCTGATATTTCCAATTATTGAAAGGAGCTTGCTGGCTTACTGACAGATGGACTTCCGAGGGGGCCGAGGTCCTTCAAATCCCACTTCCCGTAGGCGTCACATATACATCTTACTCACCCTGGCTGTGAGCCTGTCATAGTTGGACAATTGGAACACAAAGACACCCACCTCCCCCTCTGCAAGGCTACCCACTTACCATGGTTCGGACGCCATATTGCTTTTCCACTTTTTCCTTTAGCTGTTTGAAACAGGCTTCCATTCTCTCATGAAATGGCCTCAGTGCTTCTGTGACTTTGTCTCCATGAATCCTGATCCCTTCAGCCAAAAACGGAATCTGAAAAATGTAGCAGTCAACACTCCTTATTCCCTGGTTAATGGTCTAGAGAGAGCCGCGCACACCAGGCAGAAAGTGGCACTGTGTGCAAAATCCAACTGCTTTGTTTCCAAATCAAACCGTGAATCAAAGTCATCAGCAGGCACATTACCCCCGAAGACCAAAATGTTCAAATTAAAATCATTTGTGTTTTAAATTGGACACGTTTAGTGCAGTGCTCAGCACACAACGGCCACTCAGTGACTTGCCTGACTCCCATTGGCCGACCAACCCCAGAATAGACTCATCTGTGCTTTCCTCGTGAATTTGGGAAAAACCGCAGTTTGAATCTTTTTAGCTGTAACTTGATCTATTAGCAAAGGGTCGTGTCACGGTGCAAAGATTTTTTTTTTTTTAGCCCAGAATATTGCCTTTAGAGGCAATTGAGAACCCTATTCTAAAACTTAAAAATCTAATTATGTGTGATCTACAGTCCTGAAGGATCTTCTTATTTAGAAAGGAAAACCAAATTTATTCTTCCTTAAAACTAAAAATAATCATTTCTCTGCCAACACTGCTGTCACAAAATATCCATGCCAACACTTCACTTCGAAGCGCGGAGATGGAGCTGACCTTTAAAAGCGTCGCAGGGAGACATTTTCATTCCCCAGCCCCAGAGACCCTCTAGAATCACTGCTGTTGGGGGGTGGAGGGGGCTCCAAGGAGGGCTTTCTTTCCCCAGCTTCTGCTTTCCCCCAGCGCTCGGACCCAGAGTTAGACATTCTTCAATGCAATCAAGCTAAGAGGCTTCCTCTTAATAATTTATAATTAAATCAAAATACTGATTAAAAACAGATTTCCCTAATATGACAGAACACCAACCTAAATGAGCAGATTTATTAGGAAGCAGGATAATAAGTACACAATTGAATTTCATGTGAACAAATTCGAGAAATCTTACCAAGATAAATCAATGCATAAAATGTATTTGGTTGTCATTTAGAGCACGCAGCTGTTGCCTCTTGTGGTCTCCAGGGAAAGACGAAAGAAGTGAGGGCTCCCATGTCACGGCCCACCCAGCAGCCCACCCAGCCTGCCCTCGGGCTGCACGGGCACAAAGCTTGTTTCGCTGACAGCTGGGCCGACCCCCAAGGTTTGGGCCAGGCATCCCTTTCTGGCCAATTACTGCCTAAAGGACAGTGTGCATGCAGGTGAGCCTTCACAATGGATGAGATGTTTTAATATTCCGTATGAATTACTCTTGCAGATGGCAGCTTCCCCAGAGCTAGCCGCAGTGTGGTCAGGTTCAACAGTAGAAATGCTCACATTAATCCTTCTGCTTCCTGAGTTCTGCCCTGGGGCACGGCACAGGCAGGCTGGGGACAACTTTTGGTGGGATGGTAAACGTGTTGGATCTATTTGGTATGGAGGCGAGTGTGGGGGCGGCGTCTCAAGGCTGAGACACAGCCACTTGAGATCTTGCAAGCATTTTTCTGTAGAATGGACCTTTTTTCAAATATACAAAATGCAGTCTAAAGGTCTCTCCTTTTTTTTGTTGGTTTGCTTAAAAGCCTTAATTGGCCAGATTCTTTGACCTCAAAGAAGCTACCTGCTGGACTAAAGACCATTTGGTTTAAGTCCCTGGGCTGCGTGAACTGCAATTTGGCAGGCGAACTTTAGGGGGTATGAGAATTGACCACTTCAACAGGTCCCTGACATTGTCAGATAACAACCTTCTTCTAGGATGGGATCTGGCCCCTGTTCTACGTCTGACTGGGGCTGAGCCACAGCTCTGCATGAAAAGATACTCTGTGTAAACACTCCAACATACTGGGTGCTTAACATACAAACATGAGTCATGGAATGAGGCCTGAAGTGATCTTTGGGGACCCTGTGGTTCAGTGGGTTCCAACCTGGATGAGCATCAGAATCTCCCAGGCAGGTTCCTGAACCCCACCGTGGAGCCCTGATTTGCTCTGGGTAGATCCCAGGAATCTGCATTTCTTAAAAGTTGCCCAGAGCCAGGAGAGGGGAGAGGACATCCCCAAAGTCACCCTTTGGGTTGTTCAAAATGAGCACACAGCCTGCTATCCAAAGACGCCCTCCTGAACGGCGGTGATGCACGTGAAGTTCGCTCCTGTGGGACCCCTGCACAAATTCATGGGCTACCAGCAGCACAGAACATTAGGAGGCACTGCTCAGCACTCTAGGAGCACCACCCCCAGGGACAACGGTCACACTTGCATCAGCTGGGGATGACGAGTGAGTTTTGTCTTTTATCTTTGTGCATTTCCAAAGAGACATATGCACACAACACTGCAGTGTGGTAGGAGTCTGTACAGATCCATCTTTTGGGCATTGGCGGGGATGCTCAATAAAATAGCTGCATCTGGGGAAGGATGGAGCTGTGCCTTTGAGGAAGGGGCTGGAGCTCAGTCTGACCTGGTATCTGCTGTAAAATTAGAGGGGGCCCCACGTGCCTGCAGCCACGGGCTCCCAGCTGGGAGGAGCAGCTCAGCACCGTCCTGGTTTGGGGATGGCAAGAGCAGAGCCCAGAGCTGCCTGGGACTTAACAACCCGCCTTCACAAACAATTTCAGCATCGAGATGTGCTTATTGCATATCAGTGATGGAAACTCTGCCAACAAGTCCTTGGGATTCCCCAGAGGAAACCTCACTCTGCCCTGATGCAGTTTCCAGAAAAAACCAAACCAAACAAACTAGCAAACGAAAACAGAAGACAGCATCCTGATAACCCCAAACTTCTTATTTTTAATGACCATACGACTCAATCACTGATACTAAAATATGGGTTTGCAAACATTTGCAAATGAAAGCGAAATCACAGGTAACGTTTTGAATATGTATTTTTCATCACTCTCTGATTTAATGAAGTTGCTAGAAAATGGATTCTCTCTTTCAGCTTTCCTGTGAGCTGCTTTAAAATTCACCCTTTAATATAGTTATTAGGGGTGATGACATAGTGCTGACATAAAGTTCTCTCTGAGGAACAAATTATTTTCCTCTGTAGGACTTGAAACTCTTAAAATCCAATTTGCTTTAAAAGCTTACAAGAAAAAAAAAAATCAATACAACTTTTGCAGACCAAACTAGTTTTTCTGTGGCAATGATTTTATAGCCTTCAATGGAGTTGGAATTTTGTACCCTTTGGTTTCTACATCTAAAATGGAATCATTCAGACTTTTAAACTCTCTCTCTTCTTGGAAACAGAGGGAGACGGTCTACAGGAGGCTTCCATTCCAAGCGGAGAACCGTCCTTGGCCACTGGGCCCCAGGGTTTGTTATCACAGAATAATTCTAATGCAAACAGATGTCTAGAGATTTGTGGCCAAGTCACACCCAGGAGGATGGCAATTGTAAAAAAACCAAAGCAAAACAAAACCAGAAACTGACAAGTGTTGACAAGGAGGTGGAGGATGTGGCTCCTCAAAAGATTAAAAAATAGAATTACCGTTTGATCCAGAAATCCCACTTCTGGGAATACACCCAAAAGAACTGAAAGCAGGAAAATGAACAGACACGTGTGCGGCCATGTTCGCAGACAAGCAGTGGAAGGAACATACGTGTCCACAGATGGATGAATGGACAAACAAAGTATGGTCCATTCACACAATGGAATATTATTTAGCCCAACAAGGAAGGAAATTCTGACTCAGGCTACAACACGGATGAACCCTGAAGACACCGTACTCAGTGAAATAAACCAGTCACAAAAGCCATATGACTTAACAGTATGACTACTTATGTGAAGTACCCGGAACGATCAAGTTCATAGAGACAGACGGTGGAATGGTGGTTTCCGAGGGTGGGGAGAATGGAGAGTTAGTGCAGAGATTTTTGGCAAGATGGAAAAGTTCTGGAGATGCATGGAGGGGATGGTCGCACAACAATGTGAACGTGCTTAATGCCCCTGATCTGTACTCCAAATTGGTTAAGATGTTACATTTTATGTTATGTCTATCTTAGTACCATGAAATATACATAGATCGGAAGTGGGCTCGAAACCAAAGTTCAGCCCCACTCCACCCTACGAGGTCACACTGGTCAACGTGCTGATAATGGAGAAGCCACTGAGGTGAGGCTCTGGGAAGGCCAGGGTCAAAGTGTCTCTTCAGAGGAACAGCCTCACCTATGTCAGGGACCCAAGTGGCAGCCTGGGACCCCCTGGCTCAGCGGAATGGCCCGGGGTACACTGCCGCCAGGCACAGGGTGACCCCGGCCTCCGCTTCCTCAGCTCTCTGTGCCCCGCCTGCTGTGTGGGGATTAGATTAGACAGCACCCTCGTCACCTCCCACACGAGAAAACAAAGCCCGAGACAGTGAGCTGTCCTCATTACAGAGCAGGTTAAGCAGAGCTCCAGGACAACCAGGTCTTGATGTGCCCCCACCACCAGGCTCACGGAGGCTCTAAGACGCAGACCATGTGAACTAAACAAGTCACTTCCAACTGGACACAAGATGCCCTCCGGACCATGTCCTTCTAACACCACGTCCCACTAAGGTAAGACTCAGCGGCCTCAGGAACACAAGTACGGAAGCACCGTAATACACAGAATTACAGCTGGGAAAACACAGATGTGGGTGCCCCAAACCCTGGCCACCACCAGGGAGAACGTGGCGGGGGGGGGCGGCACTCTGCAGTGGCCCACCGACACCGCCCACACGGACAGCACTGACGTGAGCGCCTTTCCCACGACAGGCTGGAGCCAGGCTCCCAAAGACATCACAGTTCTCACCTTGCCTCTGATATTCTGTCATTACCAGACAGAGATCTGCCGGCAGAGACAGACCGGGCTCGTTGGCAAGAGAGGACGTTCTGTGTGTGCAACTTCATGACCATAGCCGAGGAGCCGAGTTAATCACGGCAGTGGGGGTGGTTCATCTGGGGACACACGTGGCTACATGCACTGTGGCGGATGTCCCAGGCCCCCATGCCGGCCGGCATGTGTGCTGAGATGGCCCAGGTGGACGCGGGTCTAGCCCTGGATGTGGGCCTAGCCTCCCTGCTCCAGCCCTGCAAGGCTGCCACCACACACTTACCTGCCACGCAATGAGGTCCTTGAGCTTCTCAATCTTTTCATGGGCCTCTGGGTGCTCCTGCAGGTACCGCTCTGTAAAGAAGGCCTGGTGGAGACAGGAAGGGCCACTCGGTACACTGCTTCCCCAGCACCATTTCTGCACACTGACTGTGCACCAGACCCGGGGATAGAGCCATGTGTAAAACAGACCCACTGCTAGGGGATGGACCCTCCCCAGCACTCAGGGCTAAAGGTCTGGTTACCTCAAACACAACAGATGGAGTGAATGGGCAGCCAGGAGGGGCATTTAGGGTGGCACCTCTGTCCTTGGAATCCAGCAAAGCCACAGCTGACCTGGATGGCTCAGTCCTCTGGGTGGCAGCTCCCTGGCGGCTCACATGCCTTGACTCACACCCTGCACCCCTCCCCGGGCTGGTCCTACACCTAAAGGCAGCCTACAACAGAGAGCTATCTCTCGGTCCAGGGCAATGACTCCCTGTGGCCTGCTCTCCCCCTCAGCTCTTACCCTGTCTGGGCAGGGGCTCAGCAAGCTTTCTGTGAAGGGCTTCAATGCTGCCATTGTTCTATCATCGTTCTAAAACAGCCACAGACACTAAGTAATAAATGGCCGCGGCCGAGTTCCAAACTTGGTATCAAAAACAGAGAGCAGACCGTAGTGCAGACCCCTGGTCTAAACCACACCCACGTCCTTCCGCCTCTGCCCTTTCCCACTGAGAGATTTTCCGGGGAGACCAGCTGGCCTGCTCCCCTGTACCCACCACGCCTCCCTATCCCAAACGTTCTAATTCTTTTGTCTTTCACTACAACGGTGTCTCTTGGCCTTTCATGATCCCAGGACTCGCAAGCCACCTGAGGGCAGCGCTGCAGAGCTCCGTCAACCCAACCTGCGGGGACGATGCCTAGGGGAGCCATGCCTGGGGTCGGGCCTTGACCTTCCGCAGCTGGCAGGGGCCACCTCTAGGAGGTCCCAGCCTTGGCTCAGTCCCGGCTGAGATCGGCCAGTGAGACCAGCGTAGTTTCTGGGCTGGAACATACGTGTCTGGAGACAGTCTGTCCTAGGACAGGGTGGTACCACTGGCATGTCACGTGCCTTCTCATAATTCGCGAAGCCTCCCATGACAGCAGGGTCCACAATGCCATTCAGGAGCATAGAGAGGGGGTTGATGGGGAGGCTGGGGTCGTCCAGGTGCTGCTGTACCATGCTGTTCATCTTGTCGTTGGTCAGCTGCATGGTCTCGATGGCGTTCTCCAGGGGGCTGATCTCCACCTGCGGGGAAGGAAGGAGATGTGACTCCAGGTCATCTGCTGCGTCCACTGCGCCTGGGTCCGCTGCTCATTGTCTGGCCCATGGGACCTTGCCAGAAGAGGAGCATTTCCAAGTGGGGCCAGGCTTCCTATTCCTCCAATGCACCTTTCTTCCCAGGGGGGTTTTTCGGGGGTGTCTCTTATCACCCAAACAAGAGCAGCTGGTATTTTAGTATCATTGTGTATTTCCAATAGGTGTGGCCCTCACATGCAAATTCCAAAGGGGTAACACAAGGCTGTCTGGCTCTGAGAGGTATGTGTGTGCGTGCGCCCATGTGTGCAAGGCTGTCTGGCTCTGAGAGGTATGTGTGTGTATGTGTGTGCGTGCGCCCATGTGTGCCTACACACGCGTGCACACGTGTAGGTGTGTGCATGCATACACATGTGGTCCGCTTCTTTTAAACTGGGTAAGATTTTGGATGCCTAGACGGCTCAGTTGGTTAAGCGTTTGCCTTCGGCTCAGGTGAGGATCCCGAGATCCTGGGATCCAGTCCCGCATGGGGTTCCCTGCTCAGTGGGGAGCCTGCTTCTCCCTCTCCCTCTGCCATTCCCCTTACCCCCACCCCACTTGTGCTCTCTGGCTCTATCTCTCTGTCAAATATATAAAATCTAAAAAAAAAAAAGGGGGGCAAGATTTTAAGGAGCAGTCCATCATGTCCCTGAGGCTGGAGGCCTAAGCACTTTGTAAGACCGCTGTACCTGCTTGGTCAGGGAAGGGCCCTCCTCCCATGAGACCACACTCTCTCTCATGAAGGAAGAGCTCCACCACCCCAGGGAGAGCATGTCACCGCTGCCAGTGGTACCTTTAAGACCTCATCAGAAGGGCCGCCACTGGTCAGCCGGACCTTCAGTGCGGGAGGCAGGGCACTGCCACCCATCCTGCAACTGCCCTCCTTCTTCTGGGGCCCCAAAGCTCCCTGCAAGGCCCAGCCGGGTACGCCTCTCTGGCTCAGCCCTAAGGTGCCACGAAAACATGGCTGGGTTTAAAACAATAGCAACCCCTTCCCACCAGGCCTCACTCTGATAGGTGCTTGGCTGGGCCACAAAGCCACGTCCAGGGGTCATCTCAACACATGATCCTTTCCGTCCTCCCAAAGGAGGTGGCAGGGGTCCCTACCCGTGCCTGGGAACCCCAGGGTGTCTGTAGTAAGGGACAAAGCAGAGCAGCCTGCTTTTGTCCTGCTGCAGCCTCTGGGGGTTGTCTGCCGGTCAAAGGGGAGCAGGGGGAGCAGGGACTTGAGAACGGACAACTCTGCTCAGGGCTGGCCCCAGGTTCTAGAGCGACGCTTGGAGTCACTGTGGGGGAAGCCACCTGCTCCGCCCGGCCCCTGGCTGGCCCCACGCCCGATCAGCATGTACTGCTGGATTGCTGCTCCTACCTGGTCCCACGAGGTCCCTGGAGGGCCCAGAGCCTGGAGCGCAGCATCCCAGGCACACGCCTACACCAAATCCCCACTCCAGGGCAGTATTCCATTTTAACTGCTGCTAACTCCCTGCTGCTGATCCCATCTGCCTCAAGAAAGGAGAGTTTCCTCTTTTCATCCAATAAGAGGGCTGGCTGCCACCCCTGGGGCATCCCATGGCGGCCTGTCCCGGGAGGCGTGCACAAGGGGAGGGATGTCGAGAGCAGCCTTCGGTTTCGCGCCCTGGGATTATTCAGCTTCCAGCCTCTTAGTTTGTTACAAATGGCAAAACAGTGCCGGTGGCAGAACCACATCTTCACAGAAAGTCAGGGCTCACCCCTCTCCACCTCTGAGCTCTTAAGCTCCTTCCTCTCAAAATCTAGCTGGCTCACGAAATCCCGGATTACTGAGGGCTTTGGGCAGAGGCTCATTAGGAAGATTAGTGCCTGTTTACTTGAGTCCCCCGACTCCACCCTCTCACACACGTACATCCATCACCAGTTCTAAATGGTGCCAGCAAAGGCTTGCGTTTCTGCCACCTGCCGCGTACCTTCCGAGCCCTCCATCCATCGGGGCTGCCTGGGTGCTAGGGGGGGCACGGAGCGGGCGCTCCCAGAGCAGAGAACGCAAGTGCCCAAGGCAGGGACAGGCACAGAGACCCAGGGCTTCAGAGAAGCAGGAGGGGGCACCTGGGATGGGGGGAGCAGATGTGGCCCCGAGCTCAGGTGGGCATGGACGACAGACAAGAGAGGAAACAGGGCTGGGAAGACAGGTTCCAGGCAGGTTCGGGAACCAACTCAGGAGTTTCCAAGGAGACTCACTGTAAACTAAATGGGAGGCACCACCCCTCTGGATAAGATCCTGCTGGCTGAACACAAAAGGCATTGAGACACACGAATCAACATACATATTTCAATCAGATCTCTTTATACCACTCCCTGATACTTCTGTGTATTCAGTAAGAATCTGCCGCCCAACTCTGGTTCACGTAGATGAAACTGTCCCATAGCTCACCACTGAGGCAAAGCAAAGTTTAGCTAATGAGATGCGAGTCATTATTTCTTTAAAAAAGTGCCAGTGAGGGGTATATTCTCAAGCTATTTTTACTTGAAATGAGCAAGTACTATTAATCAAGTTGTTTGTCATGTAAATGGCAATAAAAGCATCAGGAAGAAAGATCTTAAAAAGTGTATGTAAATTGGAACTTGTCTTAAACTTTTCATTTAGTTAACAGAAAGAGCTTTCAAAACAGCACAGCGATGACTAGATTTAAATATTTTGTGAGAAGAAAGGAAATCTTAATTCTGGTTTTCTTGTCAGCCAGCTCTGGTTGTGATTACACAGCATTTCTACGACAATATTTGGGGACCGGGAGAGTCGATGCCCCAGGGAACACGCAGGGTGATGATGGGTTAAGTCTCGTCTGACCTGGGGTCCCAGTATGAGCGCCGCACCCTGTAACAGAGGGGAAAACACAATCCCTTCTTGGGGGGGGGAGGGATCCTTACCATGAAAACAGATTTGACCTCAAACCACCTTAAAATCCCAGGTAATTTGTACGCCGTGGTGTATATGGTTCTCTCGATCCACATGTTCTGCAAAGGGAACACACACACGGTATTCGTCAGAAGGATGTTAGCAGGTGGACAGCTTCTGCCCTAATGGGGACTGGCCACTCTCTGCGAGGTGGGTCCTCCAGGAGGACGGGTCTCCCTGGGAGGAGTTGCATGTGGCCCTTTTGTGTGCCGTGCCTTGTATGCCACGCTCTGCCTGTGAGTCAGACGGTCACACGAGACACAGCAGTGTCCCCTGCTTTTGCTGGCCAATGATGCCAGTCTCCCTGGCATGGGGCAAAGAAAGTACAACAGGAGAGTCAGGGAGAATTCCATACGTCAAAACCAGGGAAGTTGCCTATGAGCAGAAAGATTTTTGAAAAGGCTCCAAGGAGTTCTCTATTGGCCTGACTTAGGTGGGGTTCAACAGAAACCCAAAGGTGGAAAGGCATTAAGGAAAACCGGGTTTCCTGTAAAGTGACCGCTCACATTCTGATATGGATCAGTCAGTATTTTAGGCTTCACTTTGTTTCTTGCACAACTGATCTCTCTTCCTATTAGAAAATAAAGATGTGGAAAAATCACCTACCACCTAGAGATGATAACTTAAACATTTCAGTATCTGTTGTTCAAGACTTCTTACTAAGCATTAAAAAGCATGTAGATGCATATTTTCAATGAAATACCATTTTATAATCCATATTCTTCATAGAACAGAACATTAGGTGTGGCGGGAAACTGCTTCACGCCAACGAGCGTCACCCCTCTGCGCCTCTCTCAGGCTGTGCGGAAGCCCGTGGCGAGCTAACAAAGCAGGCACTCTTCGCCCACCTGTTCCTGCCCAGTGTCTGCTTCCGGCCACCCTCTCCCTGTCCTGGGTCATCCTGGGCCGTGCAGGTGTGCTGGGAGTGGTCCGGGCACAGCGGACCGTCAGCAACTCCAGGGAGCTGCACTGGGTCTTAGAGAGAACTGAGAGCTGCACTGGATCCCTCCCCAACCCCTGAGGCTCCAGAGGGGAGAAGGAAGAGGACCCGGCTGAGGCCTCCTATCTCCCCAGCTACAGCTTTTTGCCCCAGGAGGAAGCTCCCCCAGGGGCTTGCCAGAGAAAACAGCAGTGTACCCTTTCAGAGCACTGGGACCGCCACCCGCAGGGTCTCCCCAGAGGCCAACACGGCCCGAGCAGGGGCCCTGGGCTCCACCGAGGGCTTTCTGGACAACCAGCGCCGGCTGACTCAGGCGCTACCTCTCTGTCTCCTTCCTCCTCAGCTGCTCTTGGGCCCCAGGGCTTCACCCCTTGCTGAGCGACCATGCGAAGTGCTCAGCCTGGCAGGGCAGCCTCCCCAGCGTCCCGCCTGCAGAGCCAGGCCACCTGCAACAGGGCCGAGCCCAGCTTCCCATTGCTGCAGAAAGCCCCACGCTTATCTGGAAGCTTTAGGCTTTGTCAGGCATGTGAAGGACTAAATCCCGTGGCTTCTGAAAGCCTCATCCAAGTGCGAGGGCCTAACGGGGCCATTAGGGGATTTCAGGGCCATTTAGAAGAAGCACAGCCTCCGAGGCTTAGTGCAGCCCCAAATGTCAGGGGTCTCAGTTATTCTTAGCTCTGCCCCAAATGGCTGCACCCCCCGTCGGCAATTTGCTTGACCTCCTTGCATCTCTTTCTCTATGGTATGAGAACATACAGAGCTGCCGGATGCGAGATGTGTGAGGGCAATTCAAGAACTGCCTATAAATCCCACAGTCCAGAGACGCTATATAAGTGGTCGTGTTGTTGCCACAAGGGCCCCACAAGAGACCGCTCGGAAAGCCGCCCCCTTAGCACCGGTGTCTTGTCCCCTCCCGCACTATTACAGACAACACTGCCGTGACCAGTTACCAAGTAGGGTAACCTGGGATGCTGGCATTAGCCAAGAAACAGGGTCTTCGTTTTGAGACAAGCAGTGTGGGAAGTGGGAATGACTAGAGTTCCCGGAATACGAGCTCGCCGCAGACACCTAGGAAATGGCTCAGGCAGGAAGGGCCTTCAGCACTGTGACTGGAGACTCTCAGGCCTCGCCTGAGGATCAGAAGACTACAGGAAACGGAGAGCTTCAAGGAGAAGCTGGACAGAAGCACTGTGGCTGGAAGTGCCCCAAACTTCACTCTGGGTCAGGTCACCTTTGACCTTCTGCACTCCCAGACACCTCCCGACTATAGGCAAGGGGATGCAGTCCCCAGCAGAGCTGCTGGTCCTCCTTGGGGGTCGCTGCGGCTAATAGGTCCTGGCTAGGGATCCCCAGAGGACATTTGCAGGGCAGAAGGAGGGAGAAATATTAACATTTTTAAAAACTGTGCTTTATTGCAAAGAATTGATTTATTCTTTGCAAATATAAACCTTTAAACCAGTTGTATGTATATTTTTTAAAAAGCTGCAAAAACTTCTGTTAATATTTCTATGACTAATGCAGGGGACAACGTATGATAACTTTTTGGGTTGGCTGTCACAACTGGGGAGGTGCTACCGGCGTCTAATGGGGAGAGGGTCAGGGATGCTGCTCAATATCCTCTGAAGCATAGGGCGGCTCCATCACAGAGAATTACCCGGCTCGTGACTCCGTGGCGCCCAGGAGCACCCGCTCTGGTGCCTTGAGCCTCAGGGAAATTCAGGAGCTGGAGTGTGAGCGTCTGGGTCTCTGCCCTGCTCACCTCTGACTGCCTGTCATCAGCCAGGAAGCCCCTGAAGTGCTCGGTCCCTCTGTGTGCCTATCTGTTTTAGACACACCAGCAGGGTGCTCAGGGGCCCGGGACCCAGAGGGAGACAACTCAGAGAAGTGAGGAAGGAGGCGAGTATGCCAGGAGGGTAAGAAGCAGGGTCTCAGCACTCGGCCCCTTCTGCTAGCACCTTAAGGCCTTAGCGACATCCCCTATGAGATGTTCGCCCTTTCGCTACAGTTGAAGGGGTTAGGGTTTGGTATTTGGATTTCTGCCCACAAGGCACAAAGCCATCTAATATGCCCTGTGGTCGCCTCTGAGGCCAGTTTTCCACAGGTAGTGTTGCTGGTGGTAGAAGGAGTTCTTTGGGGGTTTTTGGTGGTTGTTTTTTTTTACCGCAAATTCATTGTCTGGGTTTTTCTCTCCTTTGCGGATCGGCCGAGAATATTCAAATCGCTGGACCTCGTTTACCCTGTAAAAACTGTAGAGAGACAAATCGTTAGACATTTAACCCCCAAAGCAGCCGATATGCTTTCAGACGTGGGGTCTGGCCTCCTGATAGGTCCCTGCATCCCTTAAAATATCCCCAACCTTGACCCCGAGCGACAGCTGTGGCTTTCTCTCTCCACCAGCCTTGGGAGAGAGATGTTGGCAGATGGAAACATTACCTTGAGTTTCTGCCTCTTCCCTGTCCCTGCAAACCCTCAGGGGAGAAGAGATGCTGAGTAAGAGTGAAGCAGGCACGCACAGAGAGAAGGTGAAGCGGAGGGGAGTGGGAACAGGCCTGCGTCCCCCACGCCTGTGTTTACTACTTCAAAAATCTTCATTTATTTTATCAGTTTAATTCAGTGATTCAACAATTTATTAAAAGAACCTAATAATTTTTTATTAAAATTTTTAAAAAATTACGTTTATTGTTTTTTAAAAAGACCTTATATACCTTACTTTCAGCTCTACAGAAGGCAGAGTCTGTAACCACAAAGGGCGGCGCGCACGACAAGCGTGTACTTTCTTTCCCTGGGGAAGGGGCGCGTGGCGCCTGTACCAGAGGCAGACTCATTCCTCCTCAGCACTGAAATGTCGGCCGCCTCCCCACGTCACAGCGAAATCGCTGAGCATCAGCTACAATTCACTATTGGCTTTAATGCCTCTTCCTGAAATAAACTGTTGCAAAACTTGAAACAGGTGCCTTGTGAAAGCAATTGTTCATCAGCAGAGTCCTAGCTGACTTCCCATTAAGGGCTGATAAAAGGTTAAAGAAAGGAGAGTGAATTTTGAGGAAGAACACAACCCACCAAACTTCAGGATATGAAATAAGCAGATTCTGAGCATTATGAGGCCATGGAACAGGCTAATTTCTTAACCAGAACATGGATCACATAGAAAAGAAAATTCTTCACATCAAAGAAGCATCTAAAGCAGATGGTCTCTACGGCATTGCTAGGTCAGGGGCAACTCAGTGTAGAGGCATGAACCCTCAAATTCGGACAGCCGACCGGTGAGTCAAAACACCTGCCTCAGAATCCCACGTTACATAATCATGGTGTTGCAGGGGTCTAAGAGTTCTCCACCCAAAAAAAGCAAATGACCCAATTACTTTTCCTGCCTTACGGCATGCAAACACCCTGGTCCTCCTCCCCAGGCGTGGGGACTCAGAAATGCTGGGTTGGGGCTGGGCTGGAGCCCTGCTGAGAAGCTCTGCAGGGAACGCCCCCCGCCCCAAGCAGGTCACAGGGAGACCAGAGTGCCCCCTCTGTCCTCCCGAGTTTTCCTCGTCACCCCACATCAGGATAGGAATAGTTCTCGTGCCGTCCGGCAACACACGCTAACTTCTTCCTTCACTGTTTTGATGCTGCAAAGAATTTGCTTCCCTTGCTCTTCTAAGTAAACAGAAAGAGCATCTGGAAAGCTAATCAAAGGCTAAAACCCACCCTTTCAAGACTGAAATTATGAGCTCACAGTCCTTCACCGTCCTCACGGTGGGTAGGAGAAATGGGGTGCTTACCTTACAATCTGCTCTGACACAGGCCTGTGAAATTTCGGGGGCAGATCGAGCTTGGGCTTTACGGTGAAGCACTGAATATCTGAGGGCGAAGGGGGTTAAGGATCACCGGGAGGGGGGGACCTCAGCCATGACGGGGCCCCCAGGTCCACCCACCCACCCAGGCACACAGATTGGTGATCGTGCCACGTTCCATAGGGTTGTCAGGAAGGATACACTGGCCAGGAGAGTTTTTGATATCGTCGCCTGGTGGAGATGTTGTCTTCATTTTCTCAGCATTCGGGAACTGAGTTAATAGCCGAGCTTCGAAATCTTCCCTGCGTTCATACTCTTTCCCTCGGTAAATAAAAACTTTCCCCTGGAAACAATGACATTCATTAAACACCACCACAGCGGAAGGCCAGGACCTGAGCGTGCACAAGTGCATTGGTCTTCAAAATATGCTTGAGAGGGTTGTTGTTTTGTTTTTTGGTTTCTTTTTTTTAAATCGTTGAATTGAAGAACAGCTTGTAATTGCACTGGCCTTATTAATCAAGAATGCACAACCACGAGCCACATAAGTTAATAGTATTTAAGAAGCACTGAACACAACATTACTGAGGTCCGCTGATGTATTTCAGTCTTAACAGTAACAATCAATTAAAAAAACCAGGAAGAACCAAGTGAGCGATCGGGGTCCGCCTTCTAGGGGGCGTGAGGTGCCAAGAGCGGGTAAAGGCACCAGGGCAAGTGGGTCTTGGTCTCCATGTTTTTCTTTTCGGGTAGGCCCTAATTAAATAGCTTTCATCCTCTGAGAGGAATTTAAGAGAGGATGACATTGAGGTGGGGCCTCAACGCTCAGAGCCTGAGCATGACGTTCTGAGCCGTCTCCGACAGGACACAACCAAGGGAAGAGCTGAACCACAGGGAGTGGGGTCAAGAGCAAGGGAGAGAGGCGTGAGGGCCGTGGCCTCCCCAGGGGTGAGAGACCGGAGCGGGGTGACAGGACGTCCCTCACTGCACGTCAGCCTTGTGGGGAGAATTACCCACTGGTGAGTGACAGGTAGAACATTAGAGTTCTCCTTCTAAAGGCTGGACTTTGTCCATCTTCAATGGCACTTTGTCACCTCCATAAATCCCGAGTTGGAGAGTCCATCGAGGCGTGATTTTTCGAGGGCGAGGTGACCTTGGGGTGGGTGTCAGGCAGGCGAGCGTTCTTCCTTACACAGGCTGCCCTGTCGAGGCCACTTCTGTCTGGGTGTGACACGGTCCCTCCCTAAATGTACCTCTAGGGAATTTTCTGATTCTAAAATATAACAGGTCTCTATACCTTCACAGATTCAACAGTGTGTTCTAAGCTGTCTACTGAATCACAGAAAGGTGGCAATGGGTAGTATGATGCCACCTCGGGCTCCGGAGCCTTCACCCCCTGCCTCCCAACATCCTGCCCGCCCCACCCTCGGGCTGTCTGATCCTAAAGGAAAACTGCAACAAGGAAAAGACACCACAGGATCCGAGGAATGGGAGGCTGGAGGCTGATGCTTTTCCTCATGGGATCTGTTGTTTCAGTCAGGGGACCCTGAGCCAGAGGCCCCCGACTGGCGGGCCATGAGTCAGGTGCAGCCCTATTATCTGTCATGACCCCGGCCAGATGCCAGAGAGGAGGAGAGACAGACGGCCAGACAGGATAGCATTCCGCTGGATATTTTTACACTTATCTCCTAGAGACTAAGTGTGAAGTCAAATTAAAATTTGTCTAATTAATGAATTTTCAAAAGATAAAGAGAGATCCTGTGGTACTCAATTTATTTCCTTCCCTAGCCCCGACTTATTCTGAGTCCCCATAAATCACTAAAGCAGGAACAGTTTAAGAATTTAATATTTTTTTCACTTTGTGCTTAGGTATGTCTTAAAGTACCCATTATGGAAGAAAAATGTTCTCTTTCCCTAAAAAAATAATGTCAGGCAGAAACCAAAGTAATATGTAGTCTCAATTAGAAATATAAATACACAGTGTGGGCATCTTTTAAGGCTATATAAAGCCCAACATTTCAGAAATTCAGGAAGATTTAATGAATAACAGGCTAGTATGAACTCACATGCATTTACTCTGCTTTACTCTAGAAGACATAATAATAAAATGTATATAAAGGCTTTAATAGAAAAACACTAGTGAGTTATAGATGAAAACACTACTAACATTTTCTAGAAATGTCAAGTATTCTGCATTCTGAAGCGGTCCCTTCAAACATGAAAATAAGGGGGAAATGTATATACAGTCAAAGATATTTATTCCTTGTAAGAACCATAAATACTAACATGAAGGCAAAAAACAAAACAAAACAAAAAAACAACCCATTGAGACCAATTCTTAAAGAAAAACAAAGCAAAAGGGACAGTCACTTCTCAGAGGCATTAAACAGACAAACATTTCACCCGCTTTTCTGTAACTGCTAATGTCATTGTCAGATTGGCCCCTGACAGGTGATCTGTGAAGCATAATAAATATATTGCTATAGTCCCACGAAATTATTCAGGTGTGGTGGGGACATCAGTTCAATATTAATCAAGCCAGTTAAACTCTTCATTCGCACTTTGCATTTTGTCCTTCTGATGGGGAGATGACCCAGTGCAGTCCCTGAAGCACACGGCGTGCGTGCCCTCCCAGCACACGCCAGGCATCAACTGGCTCGGGGACTGCAAAGTGCCTGCCCCGCCCCCAGCGCGTCAGAAAGCCAGGGCAGAGCCAAGGTTAGTGGCCGCGAGTGACAGCACCATCCACAGAGGGCCACATACAGGGTGTAATGCCTCAGTACAGCACAGGTCCACCATGACTTACGGTCAGTCTCTCTGTTTCTTAGAGACACACATGGGGATACACGTACAGATTCATATGTATTAATTAAAGCCTTCGATAACACTGACTCCAAGCTCCTAATACTCTTCAGCTGGGTTTTTTATGTAAAAATAAGAGTTAGTTTCAAAAATCTCCCCTAATTTAGGGGAAGATTTATAACCTAATTTATAACCAAACGTCCCTTATTCATTCTTTGGGAAGAAGACATTCTCCAGAATCTGGGTTTCTGATCGACCACTGTCTTAGGCATGTCCTGTCACAGCCGCACAAGGAGAGAGGACCGACCAGCAGTGACAGGGCAGGGCCGATGCCCCAGTCACCCAGGACCCCGTGGGAGTGCATAAACCAACAGGTCACCTTCTGGAGCAGAGCAGGCCTGCGAGGCTCGCTTGTGGATGTCATACAAACAATGTCAGGTCCTCAGCAAGTCAGTCCTTCCTGCTGGTGGCACCGTGAAGGATGTCTCATCCTGTCAGGGTCTTCTGTGTAATCAGAACCACCAGGCCCAAAGGAACACACTCTGGGACGAGAAAAACCTCCTGACTGGATCTAACTGCCCCAGACAGCTGTGTTCTAGGCAAGAGACCACCTTCTTGGAAACCTGAGGAATCCCGCATGGTCTCCCAGCATAAGAGAAAACCATGTGTCTTAAAAAAAATATATATCATAAGAAATGACAGGAAATCATGACCCACTGGTCAATGGCATCCAAGAGAAACTTTAAACCATTCTACTAGTAGGTCAAACAGCATTTATTTACACAATTTCTCCTCTGGCCCCATGAGTGCTAGGGAATGGGCATCCGGCTGACGATCACAGTATTTCTTCGATCATGTGTCAAACAACACACACCTGTCTAAGGGATGGAACGTGATTCAGAATCCCCAGCAATGTGGCCATGGAAATCCACTTACAATTGCTCATAGAATTAAAAATATACACATTCATGGCAATATTATTCACAATAACCAAAACAACCCAAACATCCATCGAAGGACAAAGGGATAAACAAAATGTGGTATAGCTGTATAATAGGATATTATTCAGCCATAAAAAGGAAGGGAATTCAGATACATGCTCCAACACAGATAAACCTTGAAGACCCTCTGCCGAGGGAAATGGGCCAGACACGAAAGGACAAATACCGTATGATTTTACTTTATGAGATACCGAGAACAGGCAAATTCCTAGAGACATAAAGTAGCATGGTGCTGCCAGGGCCTGGGAGGTGGAATGATACAGCCCTAACTGTTTAACCGGGTACGGAACTTCAGTTTGGGGAGATGAAAAAGTTCTGGAGATGGATGACTGCACAACAATATTAATACCACTGAACTGTACACTTGGTTAAGATGGTAAATTTTATGTTATCTGTATTTCACCACAATTTAAAAAAACACACATAAATCTCCAGTTCTGTTTAGGAAAAATCAGATGGGAAGTTTATATGCGATCAAAGAAAATATTACCAGGCCTTCTTTCACACCCTAAGCTAAGCACGCAGAGCTATGAAGAGCATGGATTCCGACTCTGACCCACGGATGCAAAGTTCAAATCACCCGTCAGAATGGGAAGGAGCTCTCTGGCCACAGAGCAATCCTGGCTCAGATTAAAAAGAATCAAAATTTACCCGAAGGAACGTGGGGAATCCTTGCCCATAGTAGCCAACAGCAAAATAGTCAGGCTTAGGTCTTATCACTTTGACGATGTTTTCATAAAACTGAGCCTGTTTTTTCTGAAAGGAAGAAAGAAAATTTCAGGTTTCAATAGAGTATTTGAGCATCCATTCTTCCAGAATCTTCCAGTGGGCTCGTCAAGCTTTGGCAATTCCAGTTGGGTGGGAGGCGCAGTGTGGACATAGGCATCTGGTCATCTTGTCACACGGCTTTGATAGAATTTGTCACTCACTCACAGTGTTTAGCAGGGAATCTGACCAAAAGAGCCAAATTCAGTAACCAGTAGCATTTACCCATGTCTTCGATAACCACAGAGGTGCCACAGAAATGGTTTTTCTTATGATTAAATGGCTGGTCTTTATTTAGTATTTTAAAAACCGGTATCAATTAGATACTGGCATACATTAAAGAAGAACTTAAAAGGGCAGAATTCTGGTCTAAATTAATGGCGGGAGAAAGGTCTGGGCTACTCTCCCATCACGCATGCCCTCGTAGACGGGGTCAGTTTTAATCCAGCAGCAATTCTCAGAGACTCTTAGGCCAACAAGAGCACTGTACACATGGGGTCAGCAGTTGTTTACATACAAATGCTCGGAGAAATCTTAAGAGTCTGGTTTCCAGAGCTCAGGTGGGACTAAAAGTGAGTAGTTGTGGGCCAGAATCAGCCGGCAAATACATCGAGACCTTCCTCCCGGACAAAATGGAGGACCACGGCCAAGGCCGCAGAAGACCTGAAGAGACTCTCCAAGTTAAAACAGAAAGGGAAAGCCCAGAAAGACAAGTATAGATCGCCTGTGTTCATTTAACTAGAAAGAAGAGAGGACCTACCAGCAACTCGCTGAGTTGTTCGTAATCAAACATCTCATTTTCATACTGTTCGGCAAGTTCCTTACCAAGAGCAATGGCCTCCTCCCACATCTGTGAGGAAAAAGAAAGAAAAAGGAGAAAGAAACCCAACGCTGAATGGTGCAGTCAAGGTATGAAATAATAATACAACTGCTCATCATAAAATAATTTGGAAATACACTTGCCAAATCTGAAAACACTACAGAATAATGTTAGAAAAATACAAGTTATTTTCTAGAGGCTCATGTCCTTTGGCTCAGGACCAGATGCCAGTTGACCAAACGGGGTCCACTACTGGCTTGCCAGTCATGTTGGCCTCTGCCCAGGGTCAAAGCAGTCTGGCTGCCAGGTCTGGCCTGCTCCGTCCTCTCTCCTGCTGCCAGGACGGTTGCTCAAGCCCATCCATTGGAGCAGCAGGGTAGCTGGTGGAAGGAACCGCCGTGCGCGAGAGGCTACAAGGAGCCCGGTCTTGCTACTTTCCCAAATCATCCCATTGAACAAACACTGGACTGTCAGAAAGAACAAGATATATTTCAACTCTAAATTAAAGCTCGCAAGGAGTTGGTTTCTGTGTGCAAACACTGTGAGGCTATAAAGCCTGCCATCATTTTGAAAGGGGGAACTTGTTGGGGTAGTAGTTTGAAAGGGGATTTCCAGTCAGGTAACTGATTTATTAGAAAGCTGATAAACTTTGACATTATGGGATACTTTGTTGATGCATATGGAAGACCTGAATTTCCCTTATGTTTCTTGGGGAAAAATAAAGTGGTTTCCTCGAGAAGAATAGGTCACATATGGAGGAACCATCTCCTCCAGGAAGCCTTTCGGGGTGCCAACTCTCCTTGGGCTCCCACGATGACCCAGGATCCCCTGAGTTCCAACCTTCTGGTTATGTACAGAAACTGGAGTGCTTGTTATTCCTGCTCAGAGACCACAAGCCCCTCGAGGAACTGAGCATTAATGAAAACCACTAGACCTCAGAATGCCTGAGGGCCTGCTCAAGAATGTTTATCAAAAGAATTGAAGGTTGTTGACTTCAAATCAGGAAAGCACCACACCATCCCACATACTGTCCCCAGCCAGGAACCATCCATTTCCCGACCGCCACCATTCCCACAAGATGGTAGCGCTCAAGTCAGGACAAATGATTCCGAGCTTGCTCTCTGTCCAGCAACTCTCTTGCCTTGTCAGGCGGGACTTCATTATACCCATTTTGCAGATAAGGAAGCTGGGGATTAGACAGGTCGGTAAGTTGCCCAAGGGCACAGAGAGGTGTACCTGGCCCAGCTTGATCTTTTTCCAAAGTTCTTGCTTTTGATGACTGTCTTAGTTTGGGCTGCTATAATACAGTACCATAGATGGGGTGGCTTAAAAAGTAGACATTTATTTCTCACAGTTCTGGAGGCTGGGAAGTCCAAGATCAAGGCGCAGGCAGATTCAGTTCTTGGTGAGGGCTCTCTTCCTGACTTGTGCACCAGCACCTTCTCACTGTGTGCTCACAGGGCCTGGGGCGAGCTCTCTTTCTCTTCTTAGAAGAGCAGGAATCCCATCATGGGGGGTCAACCCTATTCATGACCCAGTATAATCGTATTTACCTCGCAAAGGCCCCATCTCCAAATACTACCACGTGGGGGATCAACATATGCATTTGGTGGTTAGGGGTGGGAGGTGGGATGCAGACATTCAGCCCGTAACAATGATGATGTGCTAGCCCTTTCAGCTTCTCCCACCCCCTCCTACTGAGATGGGCCTGAAAGGATACTAGGCTAGTCAGGAATTCCAGGCTCCCACTGAGAACGCAAGCTGCCGGGCCCCTTCCTGGCACACCCTTGTCACTGAGGACTCATCTGCTGGTTGGTCTTTGCTTCTTAGTAGAATGACCCATGGAGGGTCTTATGTATTACTGAACAGCCCAACAGACTTAAAATACTCTTTAGAGCTACGACTTAAATAAACCATCTGCTATTTTTTTATGAGGAAAAAAGTTCTTCTGGAATCAGAGTTACACTTTAATAGTCGGCAAGACAAAATAAAAATAAGCCCAGAGTAGGAAAAGATTTCTGAGCTGGGACCAGCGCCCAGGGAAGGGAGAGAGCGACCACGATGCCCTTCCTGGGTCTGAACACCTGTTCTCCCTCCCAGAGCCACCACAGTTCTCCATCCTGCTGGAACTTTCAGAGCTCCCTTGCCTTCTCTGAATATTTTAATCTGCTGCTCGAGATCCTCCCTGGGGTCCTCTGCCGGGGCCCAAGCTCACGTTTCTGGGAAGGAGAAAAGCCTCTCGCACTTTCAGTATTTCTTTTAAGCTCCAGTGACCAATTCCTCCCTTAGAGTATTTCCATTTCAAAGAAAACATTACTTTTACTTGTGAGTCTCTGTCACGGGATTTTTCTTTAAGTTTCCTGCAAGCGAACACGCACTCTATTAGCTGCCTAGAATGTCTGGGCGTCTAATTTATTACTGAGTAAAAGCTTAATCTGTTTTTATCCTAAATGACAGATGAGATGCTTTAGATACCTATCAAAAGTAATTGTGTGTGTTTTTCTTAAAGTTAGTCTTGAATAAATATCTTATCCAACTCACCCTGAGGTGACACGGTTGTGTTTTCCATCAGATTTTCTATAAATAACACCTTCTCCCGCCTTCCCCCCACTTCCCAGGATCTTAAAGGATTCTGCATTAGGGAGATTTCCGTCTATTTTTAATTGGATAGGGCTCTGAGGAGTGTGGGCAATTCATATTTCTGATGTTGAACACCCTGGAAGATATTTCAGTACCAGGGAGAAGACAGATTCAATGCGATCAAAATTTAGATTACCTCCCTGAATGAACTGCTTTAACCCGTGGGTTTGAACATCCTGCCTTAGCTCCTGGGCTAGGCTATGAGGTTTACCACAGCCCTAAATGAAAAAGCACCAGATCCTCACCCAACCTTGTTTTCTGATTAAAATCCTTAATCCATTTTATTGCGTTCTTGACATCGCTAGTTACTTGAAGCACGAAGTGTGCATCTGTCCCACCACCTCTTTCCATCAGATGATCTTAGCTCCTACATGCTCTTGAGAGAACCATCTTGTCTCCATCATTCTGAACCTACCAGTTTCAGGAAGTCCCATTTCAAGTTTCACGAATACAAACTTTTGTTTCTTCTTCTTCTTCTTTTTAACAAGATTTACTTATTTGAGAGAGAGAGAGAGAGAGAGAGAGAGAGAGAGTACACAAGTGGGAGGGGCCGGGAGAGGGAGAGAGAATCTCAAGCAGACACCGTGCTCAGTGCGAGGCTTGATCTCACGACCCTGAGGTCATGACTCGAGATGAAACCAAGAGTCGGATGCTCAATCAACTGCGCCACCCAGGCACCCCAAACTGTTTTTTTCTTCTTCTGATGAAACTCCATCCTTAGTTCCCAGACAGCAGTGGCTGTAGAGAGCGGACCAGCTATTGATATCCTATGCAGAACTCTTCAGCTGATGGTGGGCCAGTCGGATAGGGCAACACTGACCTCACTGGACAAGGGAGCATGGCAGATGAGGGAGAAGACACCAGCCAGGACAACTGTCCCTTACCAATAATTCAGGCGGGCGATGACTCACTGGGACAGTGTGGACAACTCTGGTTTAATTCACTTACTAGCTGTAAGTGACTCACTGGCGAAGACCTTTTTTTGTTTTTTAAAGATTTTTATTTATTTACTTATTTGAGAGAGAAAGAGAGCACACGAGCAGGAGCAGAGGAAGATGGAGAAGCAGACTCCTTACTGAGCGGGGAGCCTGACGTGGGGCTCGATTCCAGGACCCCAAGATCACGATCTGAGCCGAAGGCAGATGCTTAACCGACTGAGCCACCCAGGCGCCCCCAGTGAAGACGTTTTATGGGATGCCTCTACAATTCAGCTGTTTTTCCAGGCAGTTGTTGGGGGAAGACTCATATTCAACGACCTCTGAATTTCCTGTTCCACATAGGTCTTTGATGTTTGAATGGATGAGGATGCTATGGTACGGAAGAATCCAGAGCACCAGCTGAGGCCCCTCAGCACAGAGGGGAGCAAGGTGGACTAGAACTAGCTTTAGGTCTTGTCCAGTGAGCGAGTCCAAGAGCTTGTGACAGTCCCTTTCCAGTCCCTCTAGCATGAAGACGTGTGTCATGAGAAGGGCCGTGGTGACTCAAGGGCTGTGGCTCAGCTGAAAAAAGAGAGACCCTACAGTCATCGCCCTCCCTCTAGGTCTCTTGCTTTCCTAAGCCAAGCCCCATCCTTGGTCTTCCTGGTGTTTTCAAGTGGCGTCGGCTGATCAGATCAAAGGACCCACATTTTTCCAAAGACATTTTTCGGAGAGAGAGTCAGGCCCCACCTTCTCAGCCCAGCAGGTGCACTGTCTCTGTGGTCTGCAGCTCAGAGCCGCCCGATTGGGCAGTAAGAATGCTGTCCTCTCCTCGAGGGTGCACGAGACAGAGCCAGCACCCGAGAAAGCTGGCCAGACGGGGCAGGAAACCAGTGGGACCTGGAACTTGGGCCGGGCTCAGGGAGCCTGTATGACAATGTTCTCAAACCGAATCAACAATAAAGCCTGCCCCTCTGGTGCAGTCAAGTACTCAAGGAATCACTGCCCATCTAAGTCATGTTCATGAACGTGTCTTGTTTTTCCCCCACAGAAATTCTTTACCTGCCAGAACAGGACACTATTTGCTCAGCTTTTAACACCCTGAAAGGAAAAGTGAGGAAGGAAACATATCTTTAAACACAGAGGTTTTGCCTTTTTTCCTCAGGCCATGACATCTGTAGTTCTCCAAGACTTTGAAAAGCCTAAATCAGGCTGCAGAGAAGGGATATTGCTTCATTCTGCAGGTGGTCATTGGGCACTTATGATGGGCGCGGGCTCTAGGGAACAGGCAGAGAGGGACAGAAGTGAGAGGAGTCAGAACGAGAAAGACTTCTTTTATAGATGGGAGAAACAAGGGCACGGTTGTAGGCGAATGTGTATTAGTCTACAGAGAGCAAAACACGGACACTGCAGGGGCGGGGCAGACGGGCAAGGGGCTCCAGGGCACAGGGTAGGTGCGAGGAGAGTCCATCC